AAAAATGAGGAGCTGATACCAGGGGCTCAAGTAGAAAGCAAATGTTTTGAGGATGATGATGGCAACAAATGTACAAATGTGCCTGACACAATGGATGGATGTATGGATTCTGATAAGAGTTGTATGAGCCCCCAATAAAATGATTTTAAAAAATGAGGAACTGATACCAGGGGCTCAAATAGAAAGCAAATGTTTTGAGGATGATGATGGCAACAAATGAACAAATGTACTTGACACAATGGATGTAAGTATGGCTTCTGATAAGAGTTATATGAGCCCCCAATAAAATGCTTAACAATAAATAAATAAAAGTACCTATTTTATGAGGAATAAAAAAAAAGTATGGTGAGAAATGATGGAAATTTTACAGATTCCTGGAAAATGCTTTAGCCCTCAAAGGATTTTACTTTTACCTAGTGAGATAGTTTATTGTGCCAGCCTGGCCGATAAACACAAGTGGGATTAACTGAAGGGCGGAGAGATAAATGGCTCGGTGAGCCTTGCCTTTCTTGTCTCTTGCTCTCTGATCATCGGACCAGTTTGCGGCTGCCTTGCTTGTTCTGTGCCTCAATTTATAGGCTACACTACTTGTGGGACGCCTAGCCTGTGGACTGTATCGCTGTAAGTTGAGGTCCCTTTAAGACATCTCTGGAGCTGGGTACTGGCAGTTGGGACTGGTGGTTAGTTGACAGTTGGTGATCTGTCTTGTGATTGGCTGCTGTGCTGAGATAAATAGATGGAGATCTGGCAGCAGACTAGACTTGAAGGACTGCTAGTCTCTCACAACTCTCTCTCATGGGAGTGAGTTTCACTGAGCCAGCTTTATAATTTATAATGTAGTGCTTTATAATTTAACTGTTCATTTCTTGTATTATATATTTATTGGTATGTAATTTAACAGTCCATTTCTTGTTATATATTTAATTATCTTTATAAATAAATATATTAAATTATCAGCAATTTGGTTTTATCTCTCTAGAGAACCCTGTCTAACACACCTAGACACTAATTTTTACTTCTGACTCTAAGTAAAACGGCATGTCAGACTTCTGAGACTACTTTTAATTAAATGTGAGTCGGTCCAACTGTATAAATGACTAAGCATGGGAAACTAGCTATGGTATTAGATCTCTGGAGCCCTGCTGCTGACTAATTTGGGCGTGGAAATGAATTAGCTCTGATAGTCTGGCTGCTAACCTGCTTTCTTTGGGAGATGTAAGCGATCGGAATTCCTGATGAGTCAAGTGGTGGATGAAAAGAAAACAATGCATAACATACAAAATGAGTCAGATGATCCTGAAATAATGAAAACTAATTGTGCAACTCATTGTAGTTTTGAACTCAGCATGATAAAAAACAAACATAGTAGGGATTATCTAAGAAGCTTTGTTCATAAGCTTACCTTAGAGAGCTTGGCTTGCTTGTGAGGACATCAGGCACTTCATACCTGGGCTTCAGAGGAACTTCTTCATTGATTTTAAGTCTGAAAATGTCTCCTTCTAGACCATAAACTTCAGCGCGGAGGGGTATCTGGGTAAGAATATAGGAAATTAGCTTCGGCAGGTTACCCCAGTGGTAGTCAGCTCTGAAGAGCCAAGCGATAGTAATAATTGGAAAAGTGTTTAATGACGTTGCTGTTGTGAGCACCAATGAGTCAGCTGCAACACACACCAATGCCATGTATGACAGAATGAAACATGACCAGTGCTGCGCCACCTGCAAAATCATTGCTACCTGTATGCTTACTGTTGCAGCCACTTTGTCAATCCATCGTGCTGAGGTTCTCACTCTGTTTTGCTGACCCTCTACTTTACCAAGCATGATGTTCTTCCCTAGGACTAGTGCCTCTGGCCATCCTGTCCAAAGCCCGTGAAACAAAGCCTCTTTGTCCTCCCTTCTAAGGAGTGCTCTGGCTGTCCTTCTTCAAAACAGGTTTGTTTGCTCTTCAGGTAGTCTGTGACAGATTCAATATTCTTTGCCAACACCAGAATTCAAACGCATCGCCCTTCTTTGGTCCTCCTCATTCACTGTCCAGCTTTCACATGCATAAGGAACAATGACATTACAATGTCCTAGTGTACCTTAGTCCTCATGCCGCCTATTTGCCCAGTGTAATACATCCTTTGCTTTCCTGACTGCTGCTTCCATGGACAATGATTGTGGATCAAAGCAAGATGAAATTCTTGACTGTTCCAAATAATCAACTGGCAAGGATATTGTGTGCTGATAACTTTCAGCTTCATCCAAGTTGATGCCAGTTGACTTTTTCAAATCTAATTCTCCATTTATCATGATGTTCAGTGGGGAAGAGTTCTGTTTTCTTTACGTTGAAAAGGAAACCATACTTAAGGCTGTAGTTTTTTAATCTTCATCAGTAACTGCTTCAAGTCCTCTTTGCATTTGGCAAGCAAGGTTGTGGCATTAGCATATCACACACTGTTAATGAGTTTCCCTCCAATTCTGCTGCTGAATTCTTCGTATCATTCAGCTTCTGAGATAACTTGCCGAGTGTGCAGATTGAGTATGGTGAAAGGATATTGCCCTCTTAAAGCATGAACTATCCCTTTGTTCTTTTGACGCCTCTTCATCTATGTACAGGTTCTGCATGAGCACAGTTAAAGTGTTCTGGAATTCCCATTCTTCACAATGTTATGAACTTCACAGATGGAACATCTTTGCATAGTCAATAAAACAGAAGTAAACAACTGTCTAATATTCTTTGCTTTCAGCTAAGAGCCATCTGACATGAGCAATGATATCTTTCCTTCCACATTGTAAGAAATGGCATGGGGGCACTCCTCCGCTTCCTGAGGCCAACTGCCACAAGGCAAATGTCAGACCTGCCTTCTTTTTCTCCCATAGAGCAGCTGGTAGTTTCAAACTGCTGACCTTGTAGTTAGCAGCCCAACATGTAATCCACTATGCCACCTGGTCTCCCCACTTAAATGGCAGTTGGTGTGAAAACGGTAAAAGATGGGTTCTACTTCCATCATGAGTTACAGTCTTAGAAATTCACAAGGGCAGTTCGACCTTATCCTTTAGGGCACTATGAGTTGTCACTGACTGAATGGCGGTGAGTTTGGTTCTTTTTTGGGTAGGTGTTTAAGAGGGAAATTATGATGCCATCATCTCTCTGATGAGTTGACCTTCCTTTTCCTCCGGCATCTGACTCACCACTATACTGAAGAGTTAACCTAAAAGGCCTAGAGGAGTGAGCTACCAGCTCTCTCAGCTGATGATCAACACCTCCCAGGACTCGGAGAATGATCAGAAAGTTCATTAAACGTTTACAGGGGGCTGAGAGCCCCTTCCACAGTTATAACCAGCTGGTTTACTGTTACCACCAATTATGCACGGAGCGTGTAGGTAGCCACTGGGCATTCACCTGTTCTCCAAGGGTAATTAGCTTGTCCAGATATATTTCTGACTGTTTAGCCAATTCTCATATTAGCTGTCTGTTCCAGCAAAAACAGTACTCGCTAAAATGTGGCAATTGTGCTACATTTGCTCATTTGGCAGCTGTTCTGGTTTGTCGCAGTTCTACCCTGTCCTGCAGGATTGCTGTGAGTTGGAATCAACTTGGTGAGAGTGAGGGGCTGACGATAAAGGTCTAATCCCATGTAGCATTGCCAGCAATGTTTTACCCAAACTCAGAAGCTGTCATAAAGTCCCTGCTCTGATGTTGCAAGACTAGCTCTTCTTTGTTCTTCAATCTAGGTCAATTCATTGAAATGAGAAAACTGTAAATGTCGAAAAACAGGTCTAAAAAGGCTCTAAAACACTTTTCCTTTTGGAGTGTCTTCTGAAAGTTACTTTGTCAAATTTCGACTTAATTAGTTTGTCATCAAGGATAAGTACACTATACTGTGACTCTGTGTAAGAAAACTTGGACCTCTGGGGCTGCTTCCAGCTTTTCTTTTAAGCTTAGGTGTTTTGAACTGGTAAAACTTAGGTCAATATCAAGTTGAATGATACTTGGTTCTGTTTCCTGGTTGCTTATTAAACGGCAGATTCAGGAGAGAAGACAAGGAGGAAGGACTTCAAAAAATTTCAACAACACTTGCCAAGTCCAAAGTTATCACTTTAAGGATTTTACTGGTATGAGGCAGGCAGGCACTTAAGGGTGCTGAGTTTGGCAGTATTTGTCTCCTCAGTGAAATTTGAGAACTGCAGCTGTGAGCTGAACATGACCTCTTAGGCTTTGGACTCTTTCCAGACCTGAATTAAAATGCCATTATTTTGAATACGTGGCTGTATACAGATTGTGTAAAACTCTGACCACACGTGTACAATACTCTAATGTGAAATCTCCCTTGAAACACTTATCTCATCAAGAACTGAGTTATAATGAAGGCTCCTTGATTATGCAGTGAATTGGATACAAGATCCAGACAACTTTACGGATCAATGTCTGGTGTGGCACTGTCCTCATCAGGCTGACAATGCGGGTCTGGTAGGGGCCATGAAGGGTTAAATCCCTATAGGCATCTCAAATGCAAGTGACAAGGACAGCATTAAGATGGGGTTCAGCCCAGAATTTCAAGGTGATTTCTTAATACATACATACATACATACATACATACATATATATATACATATATATGCCTGAGATCAGAGAGCTGCTGCAGGTTCTGATATTTCCATTCCGCGAACATGGGACTGTTCCGGGGAGGGGGGTGGTGGTCTTCAAAGCTCTCAGTCTTGGGAGGTATGTTGCTGATATCTTGGGTGATTTGTCCTTGTTTCTAGACTCCTCAATTCTCTTCTGAGTTCAAAATCCTTTGCTGAGAGGAATCCTGTAGGTCCTCTTGGACTGTGACTTCTGATACTTTGCAGGCATCCAGATCTGCTGGGTCTAGTTTGGGCATCTGACCTGCACAGCATTATCCTCTGTATTATTATGATCCAACAAAAGGTGTATGTGGAGAAACTGGCTGCTTTTTTTTTTTTTTTTTTGAGAAACTGTTCCATAGCAGCACAAATGACTATATCATTATCAGGGTTCACCACTAACTGCACTGGTATCAAGCTGCACTGAGAATTTTCAATTTAGTCCACCATTGGCATTCAAGGTACTTCTACCTCACTTACTTCTTTTGCATATGTCCTCATGACAACATTGTTTGTGTCCTTAATATACTGTATCTCTATGAAGACAGAAAGGGGTATTCATATGCTTGCTCTAAGGTTAGATCATACCTCTCTAGGGTAAGGCACAATGGACTGGATAAAAAAGACGAGACAAGAAGGTTCCTGATATCTGGTGGCAGTCTGTGTTAGTCTGGGTAGACTAGAGAAACAAATCCATAGAAACTCATATGTGTATAAGAGAGAGTTTTATATAAAGGGTAATTGTACCTTAAGAAAGCATCCCAACCCAGTCCAGATCAAGTCCGTTAAGTCCGATATTAGCCCATATGTCAGATATCAATCTATAAGGTTCTCTGCAGACCCAAAAAGCACATGCAATGACGCCTAATGCAGGAAGATCATGGGCCAGTGTGTTGGAAGTCTTCTGAATCCACTGGCATTGTAAGCATCTCAGCGCTGGCAGGGGCCTCTACATGGCTTCTCCGGTTCTAGAGGTCTGGATGCATCAGGGTAGGTCCATGTGGCTTCTCCAGCTCAGGGGGAGTAGCGCCATGTGTCTTGTCAGTTAGAGCATCTCCAAGGAGTGAGTAGAGCGAGAGATAGCGTCTCTCTAGCCTCCAAGAAGGTATACAGGATTTCCCAGAATTCTTAGGGGAAGGCCATACCCACATAGAAGTCTCATTGGCTATGACCCAATTGACAGAGTAGACTCCACCCCTTCACTCTTACTCCTCTTAAGTCCCAAACTGACACCAGATTATATAACTACCACACAGCCCTAAAGACTTTTGGAAGGCCTTTGGTGGTCTTGCTGCCTTTTCTGGAACATTTGCTTTGGTGACCCTCAGTCAACCCTCAGTAGAGGGGTTGACCCTCAGTAAAGGAGTCTAGTTGGAAATCAGGCTGTAGTCAATATGCAATATGTGCACTGTTCACATAACTATGTCCTTAGGATATTGAAAGTTGGGGTTAGGGAATGGGGATCCATAACACAGAATGATTGATATAATTTTAGACATTATTATTTTTTTGGCAAGAAAGCTACAGTAGAGGATACCTATCTATCAGATAGTTAAAATGTCTAAAACTTCGTAAAGAAGGGTACCTTCCGTATATTGAAATTGCTCTCTATGCTTGGCAATGAAGTTGGTACCTCTTGCTAAATTAAAAACCTACAAATAGAATAGAGAACCTGTAATGTGGAACTGTTGTTTTTGTATGTTAGGGCTAAGAGTTTTTGTTCCATTCCCTCAGTACAGAGGTACAGGGCAAAAGCAATGGCAGTAGTAATCACAAGGAGATAGCTCACAGCTTGGCAGTGAAAGTGAGGATTTCTTTTCATCCGCTTCCCAGAAGTGAGATCTAGTAGAGTTGGTGGCGGTGCTATCCATCCACGCTGTCAGAAGACCCAGATGGCATGGATTTAACTATGTCTTTCAGCTGCCTGAATTACCAGTGGGGTCAGATTGGTTGGCAAAGCCTTAAAAGTGGGGATGTTTTAGAAGCTGAGGGAGGATTCAGATGTAGGGTCAAGTACTTATGCAGTCACATTTCCTCGTCCAGCCCACAGCCCTTCCTCTCCGATTGGCCCATCAGTATGGCACAAATGATAAAGTGTGATGACCTGACTGACGAGAAATAGCACGCAATCTTTTCATTATGAATTAATTATAGTGACCTGCAATGGTACTTAGTGGCATAGTGTTAAGTGTTGGGATGCTAACTCCAAGGCCAGCAGTTAAAAACCACCAGCTGCAGCTGCCATCTAGCTCAGAAGCAACAAAGCCCACATGGAAGAACATATCAGCCTGTGTGATCACAAGGTGTCGAAGGGATCACTGAAGAAAAATGGGTGCACAAGCAAATGTGGCGAAGAAAGCTGATGGTGCCTGGCTATCAAAAAGTATAGCATCTGGGGTCTTAAAGGCTTGAAGGTAATCAAGTGGCCATCAAGCTCAGAAGCAACAAAGACCACATGGAAGAAGCACACCAGCCTGTGCAATCACGAGGTGTCGAAGGGATCAGGTATCTGGCATCATCAAACAAAAAAATCTTACCATAGTGAATGATGGGGGGAGTGCGGAGTGGAGACCCAAAGCCCATTAGTAGGCCACTGGAGATGCCCTTGCAGAGGGGTCTCTGGGCGGGGGGGGGGGGGAGGAGGGGAGACGAGCCAGTCAGGGTGCAATGTAGCAACGATGAAAAATACAACTTTCCTCTAGTTCCTAAATGTTTCCTCTCCTCTCCCACTATCATGACACGAATTCTACCTTGCAAGTCTGGCTAGACCAGAGGATGAACACTGGTACAGATGGGAGCTGGAAATCCAGGGAATCCAGGGCGGATGATCCCTATGGGACCAGTGGTGTGAGTGGCGATACTGGGAGGGTAGAGAGAGAGTAGGTCGGAAAGAGGGAACCGATTACAGGAAACTATATGTGAGCTTCTCCCTGGGGGACGGACAACCGAGGAATGGGTGGAAGGAACAGAGCAAGATATGACAAAATAACAATTTATAAATTATCAAGGGCACATGGGGGAGGGGGGACGGGGAGGGAGGGAAAAAATGAGGACCTGGTGCTGGGGGCTTGAGTGGAGAGGAAATGTTTTGAGAATGATGAGGGCAATGAATGTACAAATGTGCTTTACACAATTGATGTATGTGTGGATTGTGATGAGAGTTGTATGAGCCCCTAATAAAATGATTAAAAAAAAAACACCTAAAAAAAAAAGAGTGAATTAAAAAAAAAATCACCAGCTGCCCTGTGGAGAGAAAGATGAGGCTTTCTACTCTCCTAAAGATTTACTGCCTCAGAAACCCACAGGGGCAGTTCTACTCTGTCCTATAGGGCCTCTGTGAGTGAGAATGGACTTGACGGCAGTGCATTTCTTTTTGTATAGAGATTTTTTCTGGTAAAGAAGCTCAGAGGATGAAACATTTGTGACAGTGAGCTGCAGAATATCTTGTTTGTCTACCTCATGTTTGCTCTCTATCCTGTACATTTTCAACTGTACAGTAACAGTATAAGAAAGAGAACAGGTGTCCATCTGATGGCGTCTGATAAATGTAGGAGAACAGTCAGGCTATTAGCTGCGTGACTTGGGCAAAAGACTTCATAAATTTAATTTTCCTCATCTGAAAACTGCAGCTAATACAATGTAGATCATGGGTATATTGTGAAGGCCAATGAAAAGGAAATAACATTTGCACAGCATCTAGGAAAAGCAATCTCTTCTACAGGCAATCTCTATGTTGATGTTCATATTATTGTTAAATCAGAGTACATATAAAAAGTATAATGTTTGCTTCCTAACAATGTTTATTTCTGAGTATACATAGTTTCAGTTAATCTTAATCATGGTGGGAATTTACTTCACTCAACCCAAATTAAAACAGGAACAGTTAGTTATCTATAGAAGATGTTCCATCTCACCTTAGTTGCTTCATTGATGATTTGGAAGTTGGTGCTGTCTTCGCCTGTTGTGACTGAGTCTAGTAATGCCCGATAGGTGGACCTCTTGGAGAGTTGTTGCTTTTGACGCCTACAGATAAGGAGTGACCATCAGCATCCAATAAACCATATTGCCATGTGGACGTCGGATTAAAATGGACTGTGATGATGAACTGGGCAAAGAAATTGTTGTTGTTGTTCTCAGCTGCTGTGCAGTTGCCCTCAACTCAGGGAGACGCTATGCACAGTAGTGTTTGACTGCTGTGATTCCCAAGGCTTTCATCGGTTGATTGTTTTAGGGGAAGTGTATTACCAGGCCTTTCATTTTAGTCTGTCTTTGCCTAGAAATGCTAGACTACCACAGTAATTTGGAAAACTCCACTAATAGACAAGATGTACCTAGGTTTGAGGTACAGTGGCTGCGAATTAAACCCTGGTCTCCTACATGGAAGGTAAGAATTCTACCACAGAACCACCCTGTCCCCCCTTCAGATGTCATGCATTCACTACCATCAAATTGTTTCTGACTTATGGCAACCTCACAGGACAGAGTAGAAGAGCCCTCGTTGGTTTCCTAGACTGTAAATCCTTATGGGAATAGAAAGCCTTATCTTTCTCCTATGGAGCAGTTGCTGGTTTCAATCTGCTGATCTTGTGGTTACCAGGATTCCTTTCAGATATTACTGGTATTTGAGTAAAGTATTAAAGTAAAGTATTAATATGAGTACTTTTATTTTTAGAGTGCTAATAAAATTAATAGTATTAAAGAAGTACTAATTAAATAATTCAGCACAACACTGCTCAAGTATGACATCTATTTTATTGAGACGGTGGGGCCAGTTTCATAGATGATGTTTATATGCTTGTTAACATCTTTTCCTTTTTCTAGGAAATGAACACTAATAGAAAATAATATATTCTAGTGGAAATCTAATATAATGTAGTCATTTAACAAGGTGACCAGGCAAGCATTCACTATAGAATTCCCAACCTGTGAGAAATTAAGACATGATTTTCTTATTCTGGAGCAAAGTGAATAAATTAGAAACTTATATTGCATAACATAACAAAATTTTGATGACTTTGATTTCCATATAACAATTACTTATTTTTTTTTAATAAAGATTTTAAAGAAATACTGATTATGGGGCTCCAGAGGACCTAGAAATCATTCAGTGGTGGTAAGCGTGCAAAATAGGGCAATCCCTATAGAGGAAAACCTGCTAGCATTTCAGAGAATTTCAAATGCTGACTCTTTGATTCAGTCCTCCTGCTCCTAGAAATCTAGCCTATAGATATACCTGCATATATAGGAAATAACATTGTGTAGATCTTTGTTATAGCAATGCAAAGACTGGAAACAACCCAACGGTCTAGCCGTAGGGACTGAGTACATCACAGTACACCTACCTAATGGAATACTATACAACTGTAAAAAGGGAGGATGATCTTCTTGTGCTCTTCTGTTGCGAACATCGACACGTTATATAGAAGAAAACAATACCCACAACAGTGTATGTAAAAACTACTTGATGTAAAAAAGTGGGAGATATAAGAATATTTATAAAATAAACACTGTAAGAATAAATAAGAAATTAATAAATCTGGTTACTTACAGAGATAAGATAGGGAGTGGGATGGAATGGATGGAATGGAATGAGAGTGGAAATAACTTTTCACTGTACAGTATCTTTTCACATGCTTTGATTTTTGAACCATGTAAAAGTTTTACTTATTAACAAAAAAATTTTTTTTTAACTTTTTGGCTTTGAAATACCTTTTTTTGAAAAAACAACATAGAAATATATAAAGTTAAAATAAAAGTCCCACTTCTAATGAATGCCTTAATCTTAAATTTCCTACTTTACCCTTTCCAAAGAAAGCCTATTAGTTCTCAAAAATTTAATAAGCATCAATTTTTAAATACTGTCAGAAATGTTTGATCTGGGTAAAATATTTTCTTACCTGTAAAATGCAATCTTATTGCAGTCTTTGAAAATATTTTTATCCACAGCTTCATCTTCAACACTAAATAAAAAAGATATTTTGAGACATCTATCATTTTTGTACTTTTTTAAAAGAAAAGGTACATGAACTTGGAAAATGTTTTACAGTATAAAATCATGGAGCGTCCATAAGATAACACCATAGCATGTCTCTTGCATCCTTTTGTAAATCATCCGAGGTAAACAACAAAATATTATATTCTGAGATTGCTCTGAAAGCAATGAAAAAGGAGCACTGCCTATATCTCATGAATTGGGTGCAAAAAATTACAACTTGTAAGGTGTCATGCTGACAAATACTACAAGTCTGTTTAAAATAGAAAACAACGGGTTTATTATGGCAAACGGCTGGGAAAGTTTTGGCAAACTGCTCTAAGGAGCCAGAACTACCCCAAGCCAAAAACCAAACCCAATGCCATCAAGTTGATTCAAATCATAGCAACCCTGTAAGGCAGGATAGAACGACTAGCGTGGGGTTTACAAGGCTGTACTTCTTTATGGAAGCAGACGGCCACATCTTTCTCTTGAAGAGAGGATTCGCAAGGCAGAACTTTTGCTTAGCAGCCAAGTACTTAAAACCACTGCAGCACAGAGAAAGCGCCATAAACCACAGGTGGAGCTGAAGTCAATTTACCAAGTGGGTAGCAGATGGATCAAAAACCTTATGGGGATTGGGTCCACTGGGGTTTAGGTGGAACAAGATTATGAAGTGTAAAAAGTATGGTAAAGGAGCCAGAAAGAAAACATTTTTTGAAGAAGAGTGAACAGGCATTTTCTGAGAATCGGCTGACCACCAAATAAATGCTTTCTGGCACATTAGCCTGGTTTCTCTGGTTAGTAGTGAAGCTAGAAGTGATCTACGGAGAAATAATGGAACTGGATGTGCATAATGTTGGTGGACTTACCAAATTCAATGATATATGAATACAGACTTTGCTATGATGACTAGTGAAAATGCTAAGAATTCTTATGCCTCGAGAGGAGGAAAGGGGGTTTTTGAGGCAGAAAAGCTATGAACATGTCTCTTAACATTTGTTTACTCTAATTCAAGTACATCTCTTAGGCTTAACCAGTCTTTTCTTTTTAGCCTCTGTGAGGAATGTAAGGAAAAACGTATTTTTCTGTGGAATTACTCAAAGTAGATCTCAAACAAAGATGGTGACTTTTTTTTACAGAGATGAGAGGGTGCACTAAACGACAGCATAGTAAGAAAACAGAGTCATTTAGGACAAAGGGAGATTTGGCCTATACTTTAGCGGGAAGTTTCAGTCACAGCCAGAGCCCTCCTTTTGAAAGTTCAATGTCAATGGAAAGAATAATGACTAAAAGCTTTGGCTTCAATAGTGGAATGAAATTAAATTTTAGAGTAGCAAATCACCACTGCCCACTGCAACATCAAACATTGCCCCCACCCCCAGTTATTTATTTTAAAAGTTTTTTTTTTAGAATATTCTTATTGAATTCTGGGCTTTGAGGGAGATATAATGAGTTATGTCTAAAAATAAAAAACCTGGCCAACAATCACAATAACCTAAACAAAAGCCCCCTGGTGAGTTGCCTTTAGGAGAAGTGCTTCCCGGGGTTCCCAAGGCTGTCATCTCCATGGAAGCAGACAGCCTCATCTTGCTCCTGCAGAGCAGCTGGTAGGTTCAATCAGCCAACCTTTTGGTTAGCAGCCTGGTGTTTATGCTAAGAGGGCTCCTTTAACAATCACAACAGAACCTGACAAACGCTATTAAGAGAGGTATGTGCAAGTTGCTAGAACAATAGGAACAGATATTGGTGGGAAATCTTTTGCCTTTTAAAATGATGCCAACAATATAGGAGACAAGGTTTCTGAAAACCCAATTTCTAGAAGAGCGGCTTCTGGATTAGACGTGAATAAGATGTATGTATACTGCAACTTGAGTTTATGTATTTACATGATCCTTCATCTCACTTAACATCTATATACGCAACTTAAAGGGGAACATTAAATTGGCTTGCATACAGAGCTGGCTGAAGCCAGCGGAACCCAGCATGTCTATGACTATGTCATAAGCAGTTTTGATTGAACCCAAATCTCAAAATACGGTAACAAAACTTAACACTTGGCTACATCAGAACATTGTCTGTCGTAGGAATAATCAAGACTTTCATTGGACTTGGCCACTGCTGTTTTTAATCAAGTGTGCAAGTTGAAGAAACGTGTGAGCTTGTGTTTCTAGGTTTGAAGAAAAGTCTAACAAGCTTGAAATTTATGTGTTTTGAATTCTGATCACAATACTTCTACCACTCCAGGGTGGGTTACTTGGTGGATTGTAACAAGGTTGGTGGTTCAAACTTGTAAGCTCCCCAGGTAAAGAGACTGCTTCTGTAAAGTTTACTGTAGTCTCAGAAACCTATGCAGCATAGATTCTCAACAATTTAGAGTACTGACCCCTTTTCAGGAAAAAAATTAGTCAGCGCTCCCTGGTAACCCAAAACTTTGGTATCATAGACTATAATCCAGGATAAGGAGTAGGTATATGCTTTCCAGGGCCTCACAGGGGGTGGGATCACCATTTGACTACCCTGTTTCCCTGAAAATAAGACAATGTCTTGTATTAATTTTTGCTCCCAAAGATGCACTAGGTCTTATTTTCAGGGGATGTCTTATTTTTCCATGAAGAAGACTATGGTACACATTTATTTATTGTTTTATTAAAAGAGACCTTGCACTTCCTGTCTGCTCCAGCTGCGCTGCAGCCAACAGTGAGTGAGCTGCGTGGCAATACCCGGTGCAACGGTCCAGAGTCCAGAGTTACAGTAGCCTGGGGGGGGGGCTTATTTTTGGGGAGGTCTTATTTCGGGGGGATGCCTTATATTTCAGCGAGAGGCAAAACTGTAAGTAGGTCTTATTTTCGGGGGTGTCTTACTTTCAGGGAAACGGCAGTGAGTTTGGTTTTATGGTTTATGAGTCAGTTTGACTCCTAAGAGTCTACTCACTCTCTGGGGAACTTCATTACAAAAGATAAAAGAGTAAGTGTGCACACACAAAACATGCAGAGACACAGAATCAATACAAAGACAATATTGCTACCAGGAACTATTCTCCTGCCTTTGCGGGCTCTGAAGCCAGGCCCTATAGGCGCACAGGGTCTGTCTGTACCTGATTTCCTTTTTCTCCTCTGTGTCCATGGCGGCTCCTCACTAGCTCCGGAACTGGCTCTCTGTTCTCTGGTCAAAGGAATCGCTTTTAGGCGTCTAATGATAACCAATACTCCACCACCGGCGGTTCCTGGGAATGGAATCTCCCTCCGTATCCTTAGGTAGAAAACCCTGCCTCTTAGACTCCTGAGGTCCGAGCTGGAGTTTGAACAGGGCAAGGTCTTAGGGGTTTTGTGCAGTGGAAGTGGAAACGCGCTTTCGTGATGTCGTTTCAGAACCCAAACTGTCATTCCGGTGCAGGGAGCGGAAAAAACCGAGCGCGTGAGAACCAGGGCTCACCCAAGAGGCCTCCCAGGTCACGTCCTGGGCGGCAACCCCAAAGACCAAGAGCATAAATGCCCTCCCTGTTTTTAATTTCGAGTAGGGGAGTGCCGACCGGGTGGAGGCTGATGTTCTCGGGCTACCCTGTGCCATCACACCTTTCCAAGCCGGAAGGGGCCTTTAGAATTCATTTGAAAAAACCGCACCAGGGCAGCAATCGATTTTACTTCAGCCCTGCCAATGTTCAGCCTGTGCTGAAACACTCCCAAAAGTGAGTTCCAGGTCTAGGGATGAGGCGAGCGGAAGGTAAAAACAAACGCCCCAACTAAACGCCGCACCGGGTGCCTGCCCGGCCCCCAAGTCCTTTGAGGGCCGTGACAGATAAGACCTGGGCGAGGCCAGGACGGCTCAGCACCCTGACCGACCAGCCAAGGTGACCACCAAACTACAGCGAAGTGACGACAATCCGAGGGAGGAGCCCCGGGGTCACCAAACAAACAAGCCCCGCGAGGCTGGGAGAGCCCGGATGGTCCCGCCCCCAAGGCAGAGCCGGAAGAGGGAGGGGCAGACCGGAAGAAGGTGAAATGCTTGCGGTAGATGGGGCTTGTGAAGATGGCGGCGGCTGCGTGGCTGCAGGTGGTGCCTGTCATTTTTCTTCTTCTGGGGCCCCCTCCATCCCCACGGTCCTTTTTCGGGGCAGGACCGGCACCCGTGGCTGCTGCCGACCGATCGAAGTGGCACGTTCCGATGCCGTCGGTGAGTGTTCACCTCAACAGTGAGCGAGCCCAGAGGAGCAAGGGGGTGGGGCTACGGTGGCCCTGGGAGTCCATGAAGGTTTTGCAAACGTCCGCTTTCCGAAGCGACGGCTTGCCGGGAGCGTCTCTGTCGCCGGTCAGCGGAGACCCACCTGCCACCTCCCAGGAGCGGACCGCAGCGCGTGTCTCGGGATAGAATAACTAGAATGTCAGGGCCACTTCAGTAGTGTAGGAGTGACGGGTCAGTTTCTTATCGGGAAAGTAACTGCCTGACTTTGGACACATAAACTTGATGGGTAGTCAAAGCGTGGTTTCTCTATTAGCTGGTTTCACAGAATCCTGTGTGTCTGGGTTGGCTAAGAGGCATCTTCGGTTTGTTTCTGGTACCAAGTTGTTTGAGTTCATTGACACTTTGAAATAGTTATTCTGGGCTTGCCTATGTAATTTGGCTACCCTTTACATGTATTTAACACAGGAGCCGCTAAAATGGAAGAAAGCATTCTAAAACTTAGTGTAGTAAGGCAAAGTCATTCTTTTTGGACAATTTACTAGCCAGGTTAATTCTGTCTCTGCCCTCCTTTTAGCACTTTATTCATATAAGAGGTGTAGTTAGCCCTGTGAGCAGCCCAGAAGTGATGCAGACAGGAGATGCTGAAAAGCTTTAGTTCTGTAGAGCATGTTAGCCGTTTTGTTTCATTGTGCTCTGCGTATGAATGGAGGCATTCCGATCGTATTTGCACATTTATATGGGAAACTATAGGTTTTGTTCACTGTGTGAGTGTCATTAGGTTGTCCAGATTCGATTTTACCTGTTATTAAAATAGTTAAGTCATTTTAGATTTGAAAATATAACTGGTTATCTTAGAATGTCATTTGAAAAATGAGTGTTCATTCTAGGCAATGATTAGTGAGTAAAGGGAATGGACTGGTTAAGCCTGACCCCACCCCCCAAACACTAAATATATATAAGCAAAATTGGGATTTCTAGCAGCTTCAATTCTTGACTCCTTACCTGTGGGAAAAATCATTTCTCTGCACCAAGGGCCAAGTCCTACAGATTGGCTATGATTGACTTACACTAAAAGGAGAGATATTGATGTCTTCTGTTCATGACAACACATTTGAATGTTTTAAATTTTAGATTTTAATATCAGCTATTTCTGCCTTGAGAATTAATGGTGTGATGCTAATTGTCTTTCTCTTCTCTATCTTTGCAGGAGAAGAAGTATTTCAGTTTTGGAAAGATCCTCTTCGGCAACACCACTATCTTCCTGAAATGTGAGCTTTTGAATTTCACAAAGTTTTTTTATCAATCTTCTGGAATCATCTTTAAACTTTTAAATCACGTGTTTTCTACCTTGAGTGGATTACTGTCAACGTTTTTTTTTTTTAATTTTAAGAATTTAAGTTAAAAACAATTGTGAGATATATGTAACAAAACATTCCAATATTTTTATGTGACATTGACTACATTCACTGCATTGTTCAACTGTTCATTTTCAGATATTTTCATCACTCCCCTCCTACCCTGTCAAAACCAAAATCAGACTCACTAATTGGTTCCAATGCATAGAGACCTTATAAAATAAGCATAGAATTGCCCCCGCAGGGTTTCCAAAGCTGTAAGTCTTTCTAGAAGCAGATTACCACTTTCTCCCACAGAGTGGCTGGTGGGTTCAAAGCACCATCCTGTATGTTTGCAGCCAAGCGCCTTAGCTGTGTACCACCAGAGCTCCTTTACCAGTATCAAGTAACTGAAGCAAATTAAATTTGGCCTTTGTGCATTTGCCTATTCTGAATATTTTAATTTCAACCACACCCACTGCCCATTGAATCATTCCTAACAGCACTGCTTCTTAGGGTTTTCAAGACTCAGTCTTAACAGAAGCAGACAGCCTCCTCTTTCTCCCTTGCACCTCAGACCTCGCAGGGTTAACAGACCAGCACTTAGCCTACTGCACCACATATAATTGGGATCAGACAATATTTTTCTTTTTGTATCTGACGTAATTCAATCTGTGTACTGTTTTCAGGGTTCATCCTTGCCCCAGCATGTAACAGAACTTAAGAACTCTTTATGGGGAAATAATATTCCATTGTATATGTTGATGAACTTATGTACAACCTGTAGTTACTAACAAGCCCCTGGAAAACCTTAACCTTTTGAGGTACATGCAATGGTTCATAATAACAATTAGGTGCATTCTGTGATCACATCAAAATAGTGTTATTGCTTTATTATTTGCTTGGTAAAGTAGTAGGTCTGTGACCAAGAAGACCCTTATGAGATAGATTGACATAGTTGACTGCAACAGTGGGCTCAAACTTAGCAACCATGGCTAAGATTGCCGCGGTCCAGCCGCGGCGGGGTGAGGGGTCCCCTGTTCGGTGGGTAAGGCGTCGGCGCGCGCGAGAGAGAGAGAGAGAGAGAGAGAGAGAGAGAGAGAGAGAGGGATGAGCAGAGTCGGGAGTCAGTGATCATCTGCTGCTTTATTACAATTTTAAGGTTCCATTTAAACAATATTTTCTGACAATCATACAATCAAAGCGGAAAGAAAAAATTTTAATAATAAAAGGTGCAAAGCATAGAGTTTTCCAGGGCATTCTGTTTAAATCTTGGAACGTTCTTTCTGAGTGACTGGTTCAAGTTTTCAATCTTGACCAACGTACATTGTGATTAACCGTAAACATGAGTAGTTCTTGAAATAGGTCTGTTAATGGTGCCAAACAGTGTTCAAGTTCAAGGAAGTGGATAGGAGAAAATTGGCATGAACTTAAAATACAAAGTTCTAAGTTAGCTAAATATTCTTTCTATGCTTCATCAATCTTATGTTCTTTAAGCGTTCGTTCCATTTTTTTTTTACCTGCCTTTTCAATGGGGCTTTCACTGTTCTCTTGTTTCCATTATGCACTAGCTACACAATCCATTCTGTAATAACATTTTTGGTACACCTTATTTTGTCTTTAATAGATCTAATGCACCAAACTGGACCACCCCCTTTTATTCTTTTCCATAAGGATAAGGTTAAAAAATTTTACACGCTTCCCATTTACCTCAATAATATGTTCTCCATTGTCGTCATAAATGCCAGTGTAATTCAAAGGAGGGAGAGTAGTCTTAGGGGTTTTGGCACTCTTTCCCAGAAAGGTAGTCATAGGGAACTTCTCGGGAGTTACTGTAGTCAATTGGGGTTGTTCCAATTCTAACTTTTGCATTTTTCCATAAATATACCAAAATCCTCATTCCCTTGTATGGCTTTGATAATTAACTCAGTCATTCTATCATTTGCATCCCTTCTCTTAATGGGTACTCTGATTTCCCCTGAATTATTCATCGTGGTCTCGTTATTGCTCATAGTGGCAATAATGGTTTCATTTTTACATGGTCCGGGATAAAACATAAACATACTCCAGAATATCGTAGCGGCAACAACAAAACAATTTGTGAGCGGATTCTGGCAACCAGTTCCTACAGTCCGACTTCTTTGAAGTCGGGTCATCTGTCGCTGGACTTTGTCCTCAACGTCAGCCGGCAGGAGTGGTCCCATCATAAGATGGTGCAGGACTGGGCAGTGTTAAGTTTTGCTGTGCATAGAGTTGTTATGAATTGGAACCGCCTCATTGGTACCTAATAATAAGGGTTATGACGGTTGGCAGCCAAGTGCGTAGACCTGTGTGCCTTTGTAGCTCCTTCAACAACTGTGATGCTAATTATGTTTTAGTGTATCTAGAACTTTTTTTAAATGCATAAAAAGTCCTCTGTATTCTGTATTTTCACACAAATAAACATGCACATTGGTGCATTACAAGCCATGCAGCCCTTAGCATGGTAGCTTTCCTATATGCTCCATGCTCCCTGTGTGTGTGTTCATTATTCTTGCATGAGTGCGGGATATGCTAAAAAGCATGGTATTAAGACAAATGTTTACCTGATATTAGATAATGAACTGTACATTATACAACTTCAACTTAAAGACATACCTGGAAACAGAACTTGCTTTTAACCCAGGGACAATCTGTACTACATTCTATTTATTCATTCACCTGTTAATGGATTGTTTCAATTGGTTATTTTGAATAATTCTGCAAGGAACATTAGTATACAAATGGCTGTTTGCATTTCTGCTTTTCATTCACATATATGTATATATATATTCTCATACATATATATGTATATATAAAACTAGGCATTGAATTTCAGGGACATAAGGTAGTTCTGTGATTAACTTTTTGAGGTACTACTAAATTATTTCCATAGTGACTGTACCATTTTATAATCTCAGTGGCAGTGGATGAAGGTTTTAATTTCTTCACATCCTCTTCAACATTTAGTTTCCTTTTATCTGATAATATTTATCCAGCTGGCGTTAAATTTGTATCCCCTTGTGATTTTGATTTGCATTTCCCTAGTGACTGGCAGTGCAGTGGTTATGTGTTGGGCTGCTACCCAAAAAGTGTGCAGTTCGAAACCACTGGCCGTACTCCGGGAGAAAGACGGGGTTTTCTATTGGGGTTTTCTACTCCCTCAGAGAGTTACAGCCTTGGGAACCACAGGGACAGTTTACTCTGTCCTGTAGGGTCAGTATGAGTCACCAGGGACTCGTTGGCCAAGAGTTTGTTTGTTTTTTGAATGATTAATGATGTTCAATACTTTTTCATGTACTTTTTTAACTTTTGTCTTTCCTGCCTCCATTATATTTTGCCAATTTCCCTTTTATTGTGTATCCCACCTTTGCCTTCAGCCAGTTAGCACTTGACTAACCTCTAGCCCATGGCTTCTCTTTCCCCCTCCCCCAACTCCTGGTGATCATCAAAGAATATTTCTTTTAGTAGGAAAACCTTTTCTTGACTTTTTATAATAGTGACCTCATGCGGTTTTTGTCCAATTCTGATTGACTAATTGCACTCAACACAATGTCCTCCAGGTTCATCCATGTTAGGTGTTTTGCAGATTCGTCATTAGAGTTGCATAGTATTTCACTGTGTATGTATAATAAACATTTATTTATTCTTCCCCTGTTGGGCATATAGGTTATTTACACCTTTTTGCTATCATGAATAGAGCTGTGATGAACAGGGGTGTGCGTATCTCTATTTGTGTCACAGCTCTTACTTCTCTAGCAAGGAGAGGAATTGCTGCTGCGTCATACAGTATTTCTATTCCCAACGTTTGGAGCAAGCGCCATAATGCTTTCCACCGTGGTGGCTCCATTTTACAGTCCTGCCAGCAGAGTATGAGGAAACCCAACGGGATTCGTGTGTTGCTTTTGTACCCTGCAACCTTGCCGAGTGAACTTGTCAGCTCTAGTAGCTTTCTTTCTTTTTAAAAATCATTTTATTGGGGCTCTTACAGCTCTTATAACAATCCATACATCAATTGTATCAAGCATCTTTGTACATAGGTTGCCATCATCATTTTCTGAACATTTGCTTTCAATTTGAGAACTTGGTATCAGCTTCTCTCCGCCCCCCGCAGCTTTCTTATAGATTCTTTGAAATATGTAGGATATTCTATTTGTGAGTAAGAATTAAAAAAACAAACCCAAACTCACTGCTTTTAAGTCAATTCTGATTCAGCAACCCTGTGGGGCAGCCTCTGTGGGGTTCTGAGACTGTAACTTGTTAAGAGAATAGAAAGCGAAGTCTTTTTCCTGCGGAGCGGCTGGTAGTTTTAAATTGCTGACCTTAAACAGCTGCCCAATGGGTAACCACTATCCACCAGAGTTGCATATTCCTTCTTGGTTTAGATACCATTTATATCTTTGTCTTGCCTAATTGCTCTAAGACTTGATTAATACAATATTAAATAGCACTGGTGGGAGCAAGCATCCTTGTTTTCTTGATCTTAAGGGCCAGTCCCTCAATCTTTCCACTGAGTAGCACGATGATATTGTTAGGTGCCAAGAGTTGATTCTGATTCACAGTGACCTTGTGGGCCAGCGTAGAACTGCCTTCCCCAGCGGGTTTCCCTAGCTGTAATCCTTAGGGAGCAGATCACCAGGTCTTATCTCCCAGGTAGCTGCTGTATGGGTTCAGACTCAACGGTTTGAATGCTTAACCATTGTGCCACCAGGACTCCTTAGTGTGATGTTAGCTGAGGGTTGTTCATAAATGTCCTTTATCCTATTGAGGAATTTCCATTATCTTTTTTGTTGTTTTTTTTTATCATGAGAGAGTGTTGGCTTTTACTAAATTTTTTCTTGTCATCAATATAAATTTAGCTTCTGGAATTTAATAGCCTAGCACAATCTAGGAGCCCTGGGTGGCACAGTGGGCTAGGCATCGGGCAGTCAGCAGTTCAAAACCACCAGCTACTCTATGGGAGAAAGATGAAGGTTTCCACTCCCATCAAGAGTTACCGTCTCAGAAACCCACAGGGGCAATTTTAGTTTTCTTCTGTCCTACATGGTTGCTATGAGTTGGAATTGACTGGAGGGCAGCGAGGATTCACAATCTAGGTACATTTTCACACCTGTAATATACTTAAAGTCCTTTCAATGAATGGTCTTCATTGTTTCCCAAAGTGGTCCTTTCAGTGAATGTTCCCTGGGATACTTGTGTGGACTTTATTCTGGTGTTCACTACGTATGGTTAGACACTCAGTCACATCTCAGTTGAAATATGTTTAAATGTGCAAGTTGTTCTTAGTCGTAGAGATACATCAGTTTACTTTTGTCTGCTTGTCAGATGTTTGCTAAATACACAACCTATGTTTTTCAAGCCATTGGCTCAGAATGAATATATCCTGTTGGGCTTGTAGTTACAAAAAAAGAGAACTTTACACCAGGTGGATCTTTTGAAGAGGAAGCCCAGAGCTAGTATCAGGAAATAGGGATTATGTGGAACAAAGGCAGTCTGTCTAGTGGGAATATCAGTGTATTTGAATCTAAATTATCCCATTGTGTATTGAAGGAAAAGTTTCCTTTAGTTGAGAAACTGCCTTTATTTTAGAGAAGTGATCATGGGCTGTCTATCGATTGGGTATAAAAATCCAAATCATCCATACTTGCTTCTGTGCACACCTCTCCATAAAAGGGCAAAATTGGAAGTCATATTTGGATGATCTTATCCTTTTGATTCTCTAAGTAGTCATTAGATACCAACTATGTGCCCGGAGTGATTGAAAAGGTCCCGCCTCTCATTCAACTTAACAGTCTAGTGAGGTTGAAGGAGGCAGTTGGAATGGCTACAAAGACTATCCTAATACCAAACTCACTGCCATCAAGTCTAATCCAACTCATAGTTCCCTACAGAGCTGCCTTCTGGGGTTTCCAAGTCTTTAAGTCTCTGTGGGAGCAGATAAACTTGTCTTTCTTCCGTGTTGAAAGATGAGGGCTTCAAGTGACCTTGTGGTTCAGCGGTTCAGTGTGTAGCCATCAGGATGCTGTGAAAATGCAATCTGACTAATGACTTAAATTTGTTTTAAATCAAATCAACTGACATACTGGCCTTTATTGCCATAGTGGTTACATTTTGGGCTGCTACCTGCAAGGTCAGTAGTTTGAAACCACCAGCTGCTCCCCAGGAGAAAGATGGGGCTTTCTACTCCCATAAAGAGTTACAGACTTGGAAACTCACTGGGGCAGTTCTACTATCCTATAGGCATCGACTCCATAGCAGTGAGTTTGGTTTTTGGCTGATTGGGTATGGATAGCTTTTAGGTGTAGGTGTTTTTTTGAACTAGCCTGGTAGATAAGTAAACCTGCTTTTTGGTCTGTCTGTCTTAACAGTGTTTTGATGGGTATTGCTCCAAATGACACAAGTTGCATGCTTTAAAATGTAAACATTTCATTGTTTGGGGAGGATTTGAGGGTTAGTTGTTGGGTTGCTAACCACAAGGTCAGTGATTCAAACCAGCTGCTCCAAGGGAGAAAGATGCGGCTGTGTGCTCCCATCAGGATGTACAGCTTCGATCGCCCTATGGAGGAGGGGTGCAGGGAGTTGGAATCGACTTGATGGCAATGGATTTGGTTTAGCAGTTTTCATAACTTTATCTCTTAAATATACAAATAACGCGGTGTTAAGCCTGTATATGTTCGGGGTATACTCCTGTTTAGCTTTCTTTCCTATCCAAGCATGTATTCGTAGATCCCCCACTGTTGCAGTATTAGGCAGTTAACAGTATTTGCCTGTTGTCTGCCTTTACCTCTTGCAGACCTCTTAATGTCTCCTCGTAGGTAGAGCCATTTTCACTCTCTTAAAACTTGCATTCAGTGGTATAAATGGTATCTTTTGACAGAATTAGTAGTAATACTTTTGCAGCCAAGTTTGCTTGCAGAGCTCCTATTTAGGAGATATTTTCTTATGGGTTTTAAATGTACTGGCTCTGTAGATGTGCCTCTGATAGCTCATAGCAGATTGCAATATATATTTATCATGTCTATTGATTCTATTCAACTTGTGAGGTTTTTGTGTGTTTTAAGAGAGTCTTGTAAATATCTACTGGCTATTTACTAATTTTAGAAAACAATTTTAGTTAAGGTGGAAGCCTGTATTTAGGTATGCCTCTGGTTAAGGAGGCTCCTGCCTGCAGCCGCGGTGATCTTGCCACAGTTGGGTAAAGTAGGCAGTCTCCAGAGCGGTTTCCCTTTGGTAAGTGGAGGCTGAGGGAAAAGAGAATGTTCATTTCCCCAGATGATATTAAACAGTCCATGTCAGAATTCTGTTCCCAGGTGTTCAACTAATGCCTTTGTGCACTAGAATAGTGTGTTCTGAATTATTTAAAGGAGCTCCAGGAGGCTTGCATGATTTTCTGAGGTGCGTTGGGGCGTTCCTTAAAGTGGGCTTTGAAAAATCAAAATACTCTTTTGTCTTTACTGTTCCTATTCCTACCTCTCCCGACCGGGGCTGTTTTCTGTTCATTATTCTTCCTGTCCAATCTTGGTATCTTTGAAGGTCCCAGCCATGACTTTTGCCCCCAATAGAAGTATTCCCCCCCCCCAGTGTTGCCTTGTTACTCCTTGCCCCTCGAACCTTTTGAAAGGGCCGGTAATGATCTGTCTACCATGTTCCCCTCTGGGGTAGCCCAGTGCTGTACTGTGTTGCACTCCTAGGTGCTCTGCTCAATAAATCTCCAAATGTTGAAAGATGGACTTTAACCTAGGACTGCTTTATTACTTTCAGATTTTTTTCTAATAGAGACTCAGAAATTAAGGTTTTAAGGTGTCAAAAATAGATCGCTTAAGCTTAAGCATGGATTAACTGATAATTATTTTTATGAGCAATAAAACTACATCTGAAGAATATTCAGTTCTTTTAAAGTGTATTACTTTATTTCCTATGTTTGGGGAAGGAGTTGTGTTTTGAGTATCTCATTTGGGCCGGGAAATAAATGGGCCATAGGAAAACTGTTTAGGAAAAGTGCTTCGTGAATCATCTTTTTATACAAACATTTCTTCTTTTATAGTTGATGGAGAGCCTTGTGATCTGTCCTTGAACGTAACCTGGTATCTGAAAAGTGCTGACTGTTACAATGAAATCTTCACCTTTAAGGTAATGATCATAGAGTTATAGACTTTCCTAATCTCATAATTTTATAGGGAAAAAGGTGTCAAGTATAGCTGTGGGGGAGCAAAGCTAGAATTTGAATTCATTTCTCCTAATTTGCAGACTTCCTATATCAGCCGTTCTCAAATTTTTTTTATATAGAAACTTTAAAGAATGATTGCAGTCTCCAAGGAGTGTTTGTTTATGCGAGTTACTGAATTAGAAAATCAAACTGAGAAAATGTAGAAGGTTTAAAGGGCATACGTATCTAGATATTAAAATAATTTCGACTGCTTCACCAAGGATGAAGTTAAACCAATGATTTTTTTTTTTTAACTGCAAGTTTGTGACTGAAGAATGCAGTGACTGCAGCGACTGCAGCTTGCTGTCCTAGACTTGGTTCCTGATCCGAGGCAGCAGTTTTACCTACCTTTGCTTTTGCACCATCGGTGCAAGTGAAGAAACATCTTATTCCAAAATGGAATACTCAGGCCCTTTCTGTTCTGTTTTCCGTTCCCCCGTTTTTCTTTTTCTTTTTAAAAAATACAGATTCTGCTTTAATTACTGAGATTTCTTTCCAGAAAGAATGTGATCCGTAAGTTTTTGCTTAGGGGCCATTGAGCTAGTTTTCCCCTTTTTTTCAGTTGGTGAATAGCTCAGCCATCAGTTTGTCAGACAGTGGTGGCTTGCTGCATGTTTCTGTGAGGCTGGAAGCTGTGGCACCAGCTGTGGCACCAGTAGTGCCAACCAGGAGAACAGGTTTCAGAGGAGCCTCCAGACCAGGGGTCCTCAAACTTTTTAAACAGGGGGCCAGTTCACTGTCCCTCAGACCCGTTGGAGGGCCGAACTATAGTTTAAAAAAAACTATGAACAAATTCCCAAGCGCAATGCACATATCTTATTTTGAAGTAAAAAAGCAAACAGGACAAAAACACCTGCGGGCTGGATAATTGTCCTCGGTGGGCCGCAGTTTGTGGACCCCTGCTCCAGACTATGACAGACTAGAAAGAAAGGCCGACTTGTGATCTACTTGTGAAAACACTGGCCTTACAGTAAAACCATTCTGAGAACAGCAGAATCTGATAGATGCCAGGAGGTAAAGTCCTTAGCTTGAAAGGCATTCGAAATACTGGGTCAGAGCTACCTCTTCAAAATTGAGCTGACCATAGTTACATGGAGGGAGGAAAGCTCCAGGACTTTCATTTGCTGATGTGGCATCAATCAAAATGAAGAGAGGCAGCTGCAAACATTCTTAATTAATTAGAACATGAAATGTACTAAGTCCAACTTGTGGAAAATTGGGAGTTTTCAAAAATGAAATGAAACACTTGTTCACTATCCTTGCATTAGTGTGTTGAAATGGACTGGTGTTAGCCGTTTCGTCTCAGACAATCATGGTGTACTATGCCAGGAATGACAAATTGAAGAGGAAGGGCATCATATATGTTGTTAAAAAGCATATTTCAAGGTCTACCCTGGAATACAATGTTGTCACTGATAGGATAATATTTATGCAACTACACGGAAGACCAGTTGAGATATCTGTACCGACACATTTGGAACCAGTTACCTGACCATCGACCAGAAGTGATCCATACACATGCCTATTCCAAAGAAAGGTGATCTATCTCATGCAGATATTGTTAAACAATCTCATTAATAACATATGCAAGTACAGTTATGGTGAAGGTAATATAAAAATGGTTGCTGCAGCACATTGACAGAATTTCCAGAAGTTCAAGCAGAATTCAGAAGAGGATGTGGAACAAGGGATATCATGGCTGATACATCAGTTGGACCTTGGCTGAAAGCAGAGAATACCAGAAAGGTGTTTACCTGTGTTTTATTGACAATACAAAGACATTTGATTGTTTGGATCATAACAAATGATGGATAACATTGTGAAGAATGGATATTTCAGAACACAGTTAGGCTCATGTGTGACCTGTACATAGACCAAAAGACAGTCACTTGAATAGAATAAGGGGATCGGATGCTGAATTCTTTAAATCAGGAAAGGTGTGCATCATGGTTGTCTTCCTTTCACCATTCTTATTCATCCTGTGTACGGAACCAAAGATCTAAGAAGGTATACTCTGAAAAAGAATGTGGCATCCAGATTGGAGGAGGACTCTTAACAGCTGGAGATGAGCAGATGGTACAGCTTCACTTGCTGAGAGCAAAGAGGCTTTGAAGCACTTACTGATAAAGATACCTTCAGTATGGATTATGTTTTGCCACAAAATAAAAATCCTTACAACTGACCCAATAAGCAGCATTATGAAAAAAGGAGAAAAGAGGAAATTTGTCAAAAAGCTTTCATTTTATTTGGATCTACAATCAATGCCTATGGAAATAGCAGTCAAGGAATCAAAGGATGTATTTCACTGGGTAAATGTACAAAAGAGCTCTTTTAAAGTGTTATAAAAACAGATGTTATTTTGAGGCTTAAGACAAGCCTGCCCCAAGCCATAGTATTTCCACTTGTCTCATATGCAGTTTGAGTTGCTTTTGACTCCCGGTGGGCCCTGTGTGTGCAGAGTCCACTGCTCTGTAGGGTTTTCAAGGCCTTTCAGAAGCAGTTCTCCAGGCCTGACTTGGCAGGGTTGAACCGCCTCTGGGTTTGAACTGCCTACCTTTTGGCCAGTCGTCCAGAATATAACAGTGTGCGCCACTCAGGGTAATTTATTTGTTGTCTGTGACTTTTTTTTCTCATGTGAATGGTAAATACTTTTATTTTTCAGTCAGAAGATACAGACAGATATTTGGAAACGCTTAAGGAAAAAAGTGGCTTGTCTGGGAAATATCAAACATCATCAAAAGTGTTCCAGAACTGCAGTGAACTCTTTAAACCACAGGTATTATTTGGACGAGTTTAGAGGGAAGCAGGGGAGTAAAAAACATAATGCTTATATTTTTTGCTATCCACCCCCCGACCCCCTACCCCCCAATTCCCATTAGCAGAAATTAGAAGCATGTTCTGATAGGTGTATACTCACCCACTTAGGGATTGATTAATCTTATAGGGAAAAAGGACATGGTTTCTTTTCTGTATAAAGAACTTAGTCTGCTGATAACTCGTAAGAAAGGTAATTAGTATAGCTCTTTCATAGACCTAGAATATGCAAGGAACAGTCAACCCATTATATTCTATTAGGACTCTTAAGTTTGAATCTTGCGCCTTCTTTCAGAGCTTAATAGCTTTAAGCCTTAAGAAGAAACGCTATGCCAAACATATCCCAAGATATGTCTCATATCTAGGGTTTTTTCTTTTTTCTTACCGAAAGAGTTACAGTCTGGGACACCCACAGAGGTAGTTCTCTTCTATCTTAAAGGGTCTCCAAAAGTCAGAATTGACTCAATGGTAGTGAGTTTGCTCTTTTGTTGTTGTTTTAAATACCTATACTGTCTACAAGGAAGCCTTGTGTTGTAGTGCTTATTTGTAGGGCTGCAATCCACATGGTTGGCAGTTCGAAACCACTAGCACAAACTTTTAGAAGCCCCTTGTATATTTAGCAAAACTCTTGCCATTTTGAATATTTTTCACATACATACTTCTGTGACATTAACTTAAATTTTGCATTTGTTTTATAGAGCTTTTCTGGAGATTTTGTACATCGACTACCTCTTTTAGGAGAAAAACAGGAGGTAATTGTTTTCTTTTTTACATGTTTATGAGAGTAAAGTAAAATCCTGCATTAATTTTCTTTTTTATTTTTTTAAACATGTTAAGGCTAAGGAGAATGGAACAAATCTTACCTCTACTGGAGATAAAACTGTAAGTACATTTGAGAATTTAGAACATTGAGAAAATCATTCACAAATACACAAACAAAATTCAAAAGAAATCTCAAAATGGAAGCTGTACATCTGAGTGTTAATAATTGCTGTGAATAATGATGTTAGCAATACTTATTTTCTTCATTGTATTTCTGTATTTTCCATATTTTCTACAATAAGTTTGTATTGCTTTTAAACCCCTCCCCGCTGCTCCCCCAATAACTTTCTTGTGGAATCTTTGATTTTATATCTTTGGATTCCCTGCAGTTTTAATGTCTAGTAGTATTAGTGGATTGTTGTGAGTATACAGAATACATGCCTGTTAACCAAAATGGAATCATGGACACACTGTATGTTGTTCTTTTTACTTGATGATGTATTTTTTTCCAAATTGGCACATAGAGCACTAGTCACTTTTTTGTTGATATGTAACTTCACTTTACCATGATTTTTATCATATCCCAATTGATAGACATTTGCATGGTTTCTAGTTTTTCACTATGATGAGTAATGTCATATTCATGTCTAGCTACATGTGCATATTTATGGTGTTTTCTTTGGGCTAAATTCCTAGAAGTGGAATTCCTAGGTCCAACTGTGAACAATTTTAGCAATTTTTTTACCTGTAGTTTTGTCAAATTGCTGTGCAGAAACATTATTGCAGTTTATGGCCCTTGCAAAGTAGGAGTGACCTTCCCTTTTTCCTCACCAGCAAAAGCTGATCTTGTATAAAGCAGATCAAGATTAAATTTTGTATAGAAACGTGAGACCATGTCAGCGGGAATTCTGGCCATTAAGAAAAGGGAATAAAATTTAAGAATTGGTGTTTATAATTCATCGACAGTCTTAGTTTTGTCAAGACATCTGTAAAATATAACGTAGGATCGTAGCATGATTTAGTTAAACAAAATTCCACTTAGTGATTTTTGTTGAATTTTTCCTCTTAATAAAAAGTAAAAAAAAATTTTTTACATGAAATATGATGTCCTTTCAGAAATTTATCATTATTCTATTGTCTACATTTAAAGATCTTTTTTGTTGTGTGCAATGGATGAAAGTGAAAAACTACCATGTTTCTGGGCAGATTTCTAGAACACAATTTTCATATTATTAACCTGTGTTCTAAATTCTTAAGACTTGAAAGATGTCTTTTTCCACTCTAGATGATGCATGAACCTTTGAAAACATGGCAAGATGCACCATATATTTTTATTGTACATGTTGGTATTTCATCTTCAAAGGACTCCTTGAAGGAGAATTCTCTAGGGAATCTTTTTACCAGTAAGTTCAGTTTGCTTGTTCTTTTAAAACATTTGTGCTAAATTTTCTGCTGTACCATTTCTAATGAGTAGTGTAAAATTGCTTTAACAAAGAGAATGATTTATTCTGAGTGTGTGTTATAAAGTGGAAAAAGTGAGAGAAATTAAGGTGATTTTCTGCATCCAAATATGTACCAGGCATAGTTATAGGCACTTGACATGTATCGTTGTCACTGCTCCTAATTCTGCTATTGGCAGAGAGGGAAGGAAGGATAACAAAGGAGGAACTTTTAAAGAACGCACTCTTTACAGACCCTGAGAATCCACTCTCCCAGGACTGCATAATGAACTAAGGCAGAGTAGCATAAAGGGGCAAAGCTAGGTCATGTGACGTGACATAACTGTGATGCAATGACTTACCTGTGTGCATGGCCTTCTGACAGCACAAGGGAATTGGATGGGACTATGCAATGAAAATGTTACGAATAATAATTTAATAATCACATACACTGCCATTGAGTCGATTCTGACTCATAACAACACTGTGGACAGAATCCTTTGGACCCTCCTAGGAGCAGAAAGTTTCGGTCTTTCTCCTTCAGAACAACTGGTGGGCTCAGCCTGCTGACCTTGGGGTTAGCAGCCCCACTCTTAACCCACTACGCACCAGGGCTCTTAATACTGACATTGCACATGTCTAAAAATATTTATCTGATATGAAAAGATTCATGTATCAGGTGAGTTCTATTTTTTTCTCATCTGCTGCATTAGGCAGTGCTACTCTAAATGAAATCAAGTTATTGGACATATTAATAGGACGGAGAGCTCACTATATATTGTGCAAAATATTTACATGTCTGTAAGAATTGAATAGTTGTACAAAATATTTATATGTCTCTAAGAATTGAATAGTTCTTCAAGGAAATAAAAATTATATAAATAGGTTTTACTTTTCATTTACTATCACTGACTTTGTTTTAAGAAATTGATATTATTTAAAAGGATGTTCCATTATGGGACACACACACACACACACAATCCTAGGTGATCACTACATAGAGCCCAATGCCTTACAGCCCTGGATAAAGGAGTGAAGTCTTACACTTTCTAAAGCAGCAGTTCTCAACCTGTGGGTCATGACCCCTTTGGGGGTCGAACGACCCTTTCACAGGGGTCGCCCGATTCATAACAGTAGCAAAATTACAGTTACGAAGTCGCAACGAAAATAATTTTATGGTTGGGGGTCACCACAATACAAAGAACTGTATGAAAGGGTCGCGACATTAGGAAGGTTGAGAACCACTGCTCTAAAGGATATTAGTGGTAGGAGGAAAGTACATAAGAAGTGTGTTTGGAGTTTAGAAGAGATAGAAAGTAGTTGGGAAGCTGAAAGAAGGCATGGGGGAGGTCATAGCATTTAATTGAGGCTTTAAAGGATAGGTGAATGGGGCAGAAGGACTTTGCCACTTCAGATACTGCTGATACTGCCTGGAGCAAACGCATGGAGGCCTATGTAGAACACTCCTGTGGGAATACTTAGTGAACTTGAAGATGCTGTGGGATTATATTGTAAGAATTAACCAGAATATAGGTGGTTAAACGTAAATGATCCAGTAAAATATTCGTTGTGTATTTGCGCAAAAGACAGTGTTCTCCATTACTTCCTTCCTGAAATTCATTTTGAGGGTTGTGTTTTGCAGTGACTGTTGAAGTCAGAGGTCCTTATGAATACCTCACGCTTGAAGAGTACCCCCTGATGATTGTAAGTGAGCCTGGATTGCCTCACCTCAACATTAAATTGGTTTCACTTGGAAAATTGCACGAAGGTTATGGGAATATTCTTTTTTAAAGAAGTGTTCCTGAACGGTCAATACTGCTTCTATTTCTGGACCTCGTACTAGAATGTGAACTTTGGGAGCACTCACTGAACTCCTCTGAGCCTCATTTTCTCATCTGTAAGATGAAGGGGTTGATGGCGCGGGATGTCTGCATTGGAAGGCCCCTCAGAGGCCATTGCTAGGATCTAAAGGGCACTCCTTACTACAGTTCTGGTGTAGTTCCCAGTCCCTCGTAAAGTTAACTAAAGTTTCACTGTCTTCATAGTCATATGTATGAGAATATCCCTAATATCTGTTTCCTGATTTCCTTTGCTTGTAAATGTTTTTGTTTTCCTCCTTATTCTTTTCTCGCTTTCCCATTTTGTCATGTTTAATTCTCTCCAAATGTTTCCTCCTCCTGCCAGGTCTTCTCTTCTTAAACAATTTTAAGTTAAAAAATCTTTTTTAATACAGGAGGGCAGTCACTTGATAAGTCCTTACGTCTTGTCCTTCTGTCAAGAGCAGGCAGTTGTTTTTGTTAGTATTAAAATCCAAAGAAATAAAAAATTACTTTTAAATAGAAAGGTTTTATTTGTTGGTTTGTTTACCTAGTGGTTTGTTAAGATAGATTTATACAAAGTCTATGTAATTGGCTCTTGTCCCTGATTTTCCTTCTTTTCTCTCTCCCACATGGGTGACAGTTTTTTATGGTGATGTGTATTGTGTATGTCCTGTTTGGTGTTCTCTGGCTGGCATGGTCTGCATGCTATTGGCGAGATCTCCTGAGAATTCAGTTTTGGATTGGTGCTGTCATCTTCCTGGGAATGCTTGAGAAAGCCGTCTTCTATGCAGAATTTCAGAACATCCGATATAAAGGAGAATCTGGTACGTAATCAAAGAGTTTGCCATTGAGTGAGTGAGTGAAAATTTGAGTATGAAATTTTTTTTTTATTTCAGTAGTGTTTAGATCTAATTTTGACTTATTTTTATCTTTGAATTCAATGATACTAGGCACAGTGTTACCGAAATGCACTAGTCATGTATTTTAAATAGTAGTGGTCATTGTAGGAAATATTTTTTACCATCCTCAAATCTTAGTTACCACAGATTTGTAAGATGTCATTATTACTATGTACATCTAAGAAAGAAAATGAGCACTGCTTATTTAATTTTAATAGAGTCCTGATAGCACATTGGCAAGTGTGTAGCTGCTAACTGAAAGATCAGGGTTTCGAACCTACCAGCTGCTCCCTGGGAGAAAGCTGTGGGAGCCTGTTTCTATGGAACGACAGCCTTGGAAAGTCCATGGGGGCAGTTTTATTCTGTACTGTAGGGTTTTTATGAGTCAGAATCAACCTAAGGGCACCTGGCTTATTTATTTATTTGTAAGATGCCATGGATTGGAAGAGACACACTGATTGCAATGATGTTAAAATGTAGAGGGGAAAAATGTCGGGGAAAGGTGCATCTAAGAATTAATGAAAGACAGAAAGTCAAGAAACTAGAAGGGAAAATAATTAAATAAATAATAATAAAAAAGAAACTAGAAGGGTGCTGATGGTTTAAAGATAACCTGCCAATGATAGAAATTGTTTTGTCCTAAAGTCTTGGTATCATCAAGTTCTTTCTCTTTTACCATTTGATTATTGTAACTTATTATTATAAGATTCTAATTCTATTTTCTTGATTTTTGGAAGGCCTTTAAAATAATAGAGTTAAAAATTACACGTGTCCTTGAGTACGTTGCTGTGCTTTTCTTTAACTGGATTTCAAAAATTGCTTTAGATGCTATTAGTTGTCCATTAAGGGTGAGGTATTCTGCTAAGGCTTTAGTGAGGAGGGAGAGAAATGGATCATGCACACTCAGATTGCTGTGCCCCCGGAACATGATCACAAATGGAATCAATTTGTGTGATTTTTACTCTTTTTTAAAATAGGACTAAAACCAGTGCTTATTCTGAAGATTGTTAAGGTAGCTACATTCTGATGCTAGAATTGTGCCTTGCTAAGCGAAGATTGCAGTGTGTCCCTCTTGTCTTTTTTTCCTGATAGTTCAAGGAGCCCTGATCCTTGCAGAGTTACTTTCCGCAGTGAAGCGCTCCCTGGCTCGAACCCTGGTCATCATAGTCAGTCTGGGCTATGGCATCGTCAAGTAAGTATCAACTTCCTCTATGGAAGAGCAGAGGACATTTCTCGTTACATTGAAACAGTATTGCACAGTCCCAATGTAGTAGTTCTAGAAGAGTTGATATAAGAAATCTGAAATAGGATATCTGAAATTTCATAGATTTTAGAAGGTGGGGGATAATGTTTCATTTTGTTTAGAACTCCAGGATCACCTGCATGAAAACATAATAATATAATGAGTGACAAAGTTTTAGAGTAAGTTTACAGTAATTTTACTCTTCTAAAATATCTTACAAATCAGATTAAAAAAAAGAGTATTCCTGCTGAAACAATTAAAAAATAATTTCATTTTTATTCAACTTCTTAAAATTAAATCCCTTCTAAATACCAAGCAATGCTTTGGGCCCTAGGCATATAGTAAATAAGCAAATGATTTGATGCTTACATTTATTGAGTTTGTAAATAAAATACCTAATATGTCAGTAATAAGTGCTGTGGAACAAATGAAACACATAACAAGAAGTGTGCTAGAAAGTGCAACTTGACATTTTATGGATGGAGAAGACAAAGTAAGTGTTGAAGTATCTAATGTGTCAGTGCTAAGTGTTGTGGAGCAAATAAAACACAGTAAAGGATGGGATGTGCAGGAGGCGGAGCTCAACATTTGACAAAGGATGGCCAGAAAAGGCTTCAGTTGGTGACATTTATTGCCAGGATCTCAAGGAAATAAGGGAGCAATATGTCAGGGCTTCAAAAAAATTTCTGGAAAAATTCTATTATCTTTTCATCCCATTTGTTCCGTGGACTTTGGAAAGCCTGCAGCTGTACACTCTGGGGAAAGATGCTGAAACACGAGTAGATTTAGTGTATGTATTTGAAAGTAGAGTGAATGGAATTTGTAGATGTGAAAGAAATCTTAGATGATGCCAGAGATGATATGATGCCAGCGGTTTTGCTCTGAGCAAGTAGCATGATTGAATTGACATTTACTGAGTTCTGGAAGACTTTAAGTGAAATAGGTTTGGAGTTGAGGGTGAAATTAGGAGTTCAGTTAGATACCTAAGATGTCCCTGTTCTAGGAATTGAAAGGGGAATGTTGCAGTGGAGGTACACATTTGGGAATTACCAGGATATAGATGGTATTAAAAGCCATGTTGTTGAATATGGTCATGAAGGGGGTATATGTAGATAGAGAAGAACAGAGACTGAACCCTTGACCGTTTCTGTTACTTAGAGGTCAGTGAGATGAACTAGAATGAGAGTAAAGGTGATTCAGGAGTGACCAAGGACGTGGGTGGAAAACCTGACAAGTGTGTTTAAAGCTGAGACTGATTATGCCGTATGCTCCTGAGAGGTCAAGGATGATGAGGACTGAGAATTGACCGTGGCATTTGAAAGTTGCTGTACAACATGTACATGTACAAGAGAACCACACATTGCTTGATCCTGTGCCATCATCACAGCATTGCTATGTTTGAGCCCATTGTTACTGTCTGTGTCAGTCCCTCTCATTGAGGATCATCTCTTCTTCACTGACCCTGTGCTTTACCAAGCATGATGGCCTCCAAGAGCTGGTCTCTTCTCACCCATCTCGAGTATGTGAAATGAAGTCTTACCACCTTTACGTAGAAAAGTAAGGCTGTATTTCTTCAAAGACAGGTTGGACGATTGCATTGGGTTCAACAGGGAATGAAAAGAAAGAAATTGGAGATAGCTAGATATAGACAGAGAAATTTTGCTATGGATGGCATTAGAGAACTGAAGTGTGTTTGTGTGCATTCATTCTTTTGAAGTTATTCTTTCATTTAACATCTCTCCAAATGCCTGATGTAGGCCAGTGTGTTAGACTGGGTTGTCTAGAGAAATAAAACCATTGACAGTCATATATGTATGTGAAAGTTTATATCAAAGAGTCATTTTATTTCAAGAAAGCATCTCAGCCCAGTCCAATTCAAGTGCATGGGTTTGATGTCAGCTGGAGCTCTCTTCTGACTCATGTAGTTGCAGGGGGATGACCAGAAAGGTGAAGCAGACTCAAGGAGATCACAGGCTGGTTGGGTGCAGAGTTGCATGGCTCCAAGGTCAGTGGGAATGCGGCAGGGCAGTGACAGCTTTCCAGGTCAGTGGCCCACATGGGACCTGCCCTGGAGGCAGACAGAGCCCCAACAAGCAGGGAGGGTGAAAGGACAGAGGAGAGGAGATGTCTCATTCCTAGTGTCTCTTAAGGATGTGGCCTGATAGGTTGGACTCCAGCCCTACGCATTCACACAGGTGCAAGTTGACATAAAATCTAACTGCCACAGCCAGGAAATCCCTGGGGTGGGGTGGCAGAGAGGAAAGGAGGAAATCCCTGTCCCATAGAGCTTCCTAATATATAACAAAATCTGAGCAGTGAAAGCTTAAGTAGACTTTTTTTTCTTCATTGATCCAATTTTTATTTTTTAATTTTAATTTTTTAAAAATAATTTTATTAGGGGCCCTTACAACTCTTATCACAATCCATACATACATCAATTGTGTAAAGCACATTTGTATTCATTGCCCTCATCATTCCCAAAATATTTGTTCTCCACAGTAGACATGTTTTAAGGCAGTGCGTATCAAACTGTAAATACACTAATGAATCACGGGGGATCTTGCTAAATTGTCAATTCTGACTGAGTAGAATTTTGATTCTCAATTCTTTCCTTCCAATAGAAGTTACACAAAAAGGCTTTTCATATTTTTCTGGGTTTTAAGCTTTCATAAACCAGAAACCCAGGTGACATTGAGTTGATTGTGACTCTTGACAACCCCTTGTGTACAGAGCAAAACTGTGTTTCATAAGGTTTTCGGGACTGACTTTTCAGAAGCATATTGCCAATCCAATCTTCCAAGAGGCCGCTGAGCGGGTTTGAACCTTTAATCTTTCTGTTAGTAGTCCAGTTTTTTGCTGGTGTACCTCCCATGGACTTGAGCTTTCATATGTACAATTTCTTTCATTAAGTGTAGTAGGATGTGAAAGGCTAATTAACACCCCGTGATAGCAGATGACACACTTGCTTTCTGAAGGCAAAGAGGGCTTGAAGCCCTCCCTGATGGAGACCACAGACTGCAGCCTTCAGTGTGGATTAGGCTCCGGTGCAGAGAAAACAAAAACCCTCTCAATGGGACCGATAGGACAATACCACGATAAACGGAGCAGAGATTGAAGTGGTCACGTACTTCCTGTTACTTGGATCCACAGTCAGTCCCACTGAAGCAGCAGTCAGGAAATCAAGCAATGTTTTGCACTGGGTAAATCTGCAAATGGTCTCTCAAAAGTGTTCAAAAGCAAAGATGTCACTTTGAAACCAAGGTCAGCCTGGCCCAAGCCGTGGTACCTTAAATCTCATGTGCATGCCAAAGCTATATGCAATGAATAAGGGAGATTGATGAAGAACTGATGCATTTGAATTATGGTTTTGGTGAGAAGTGAATGTGCCATGGACTACCAGAAGGTACAAATTTGTCTTGGAAGAAATCCAGCCAGAATGCTCATGGAAATAGTGAGACTTCATCTTACACACTTGGACATGTTATCAGGAGAGAGAAGTACTTTGTCAAGTACAGAGTCCGTGAACAGGAAGACCCTCCGTGAGATGGATTGTCACAGTAGCTGCAACAGGCTTACAAACCACAGCTGTGAGGGTGGCCCAGGACCGGGCTGTGTTTTGTTCTCTTGCACATGGGGTTGCTGGGAGTTGGAACTCCCCTGGCGACTCCAAACAACATCAGTATGTTTTTCTTCAAGTTTTTGTCCTAAGTATCTACTGAAATATGTATAAAGAACACATGCTCTCTGGGATTTGTTTCAAGATCACAGGAAAGAATAGGAAGTAAATGGAGTGTACCTGGGGGTGAATTGGTGAGAGGTTGCTGGGACTGGATGGTGGGTAGGATAATTTATTAGTAATAACCGATGGTAATGTAGTAATTTTGCTTTAAAATAGTTGGTTTAAAAATACAGTAATGAAAAAAATACAGTAATGAACCAGATATAAAACTTTAGAACTTGACTAGACGAGAGCATGTGTTCTGGTACAGATCAGAGCTCACAACACAGGGCATCCAGTTCAGGTATCCCCCCCCCCTCCCCCAACAGTAATGGGAGTAGCGATTCCAGGAGGGTAGGGGGGGGTGGAGGGTAGAAAGGGGGAACTGATACCAATGATCGACGCATTACTCACCACCACGACCCCCTCTCCCCCACCCCAAGGGGAACAAACAATAGAAACATGGGTGAAGGGAGACAGTGATCAATGTAAAATATGAAAATAATAATAATTTATAATTTATCAAGGGTTCACGAGGGTGGGAGGGTGGGGGAAGGAGGGAGAAAAAGAGGAGCTGATACCAAGGGCTCAAATCGAAAGTAAATGTTTAGAAAATAAATACAATTATGTTTGATACAATTGATGTATGGATTGTTATAAGACCTGTAAGAGCTGCCAATAAGATGGGAACTGGAAACACATGGCATCCAGGACAGATGAACCCCTCAGGACCAGTGGTGAGAGTGGCGATATGGGGAGGGTGGAGGGAAGGTGAGGGAGAAAGGGGGAACAGAGTACAAGGATCTACACAGCCTCCTCCCTGGGAGACGGAAAGCGGAGACGTGAGTGAAGGGAGACGTTGGAAGGTGTAAAATATGACAAAATAATAATAATTTGTAATTTATCAAGGGTTCATGAGGGAGGGGGGCAGCAGGGAGGGAGGGGAAAATGAACTGATACCAAGTAGAAAGCACATGTTTTGAGAATGATGATGGCAACATATGTACAAATGTGCTTGACACGATGGATGTGTGGATTGTGATAAGAGTTGTACGAGCCCTCAATAAAATTATTTAAAAAAAAACAAACACACTAAATTCTAGAATTCATTTTCTTGTTTAAGACTCTGTTTTTATAAGTTCCTCCCCCCCTTACCCCCAAGTAAATTGAGTATGTGTCCTTGTCTTTGTAAACAGACTGTGTAAATGACCATGTGTTCCTGTGTCTTAAGCCTGTCCTGTGGCATTTGTACTCAACTCTTGCTTTGCTTTCTCTCTAGGCCCCGCCTTGGCGTTACCCTTCACAAGGCTGTGGTAGCAGGAGCCCTCTATCTTTTGTTCTCTGGCATGGAAGGGGTCCTCAGAGTTACTGGGGTCAGTACCGCCTCATCTGAGTTTGTGTGGCCAGTTCAGAAGTACTGTTTTTGTTCTAAGGGGGTGAATTGGAAGGCTCTGGGAAAGCCTCTTTACTGTTTTCTCTAAGGCATCTTCGGGCTGATTTGTAAAAATGTAGAATAATTCATTTTTGTCTGTCCACTAAAGCCAGATCCGCTGCCCTTGAGTCTGTTCTGACTTACAGCAATGTCTATAGAGTTTGGGAGACTGTAAGTCTTTACAGGCGCTGACGGCCTCATTTTTCTTCTGCAGAGCAGCTGGTGGGTTGAAGGCTTGATCCTGTCAACCGGTTAGCAACTCAGTGCCTAACCCACTGGGCCCAGACTCCTTACTCCAGCCACCAGAACTTTGTAAAATTAACACGTGACTGGGAATGAATGCTTTCCCACTGGTCTCATTGTTTATAATTACTTAATTGCTTTTTCAAATCACACTGTCTTCTTGTTAGAGTTTTAGCCATTAACCCTGTCGATTTTCCTCTTCCTCTGCTGTAGTATTTTTCTTACCCTGTGGCTCTGATAGTAAACCTGGCCCTTTCAGCGGTTGATGCCTGTATTATTTTATGGATATCCTTTCATAAGGCCCTGTCATTGGGTAACCATGGTGATAACAGATGCCACACGTGTGAATACACGTGTGAAAACAAGCAGCATGGTTTCAGGGACAGATAATTACCCTGTACTTTATTTGGACGTGAACACTTTATTTGTTAAAATTCCATTGCATTAAGCTTTTAGAAATCAGTGATTCTTGGTGTATCACTGATGTAGACATGTATTATTTAAAAAAATATTTGTAGGGTCACTTTAAACCGGTTGCTAAAATCACACTAAGGGGATAAGTATTGTTGGGGTGGGGATTCATAAACACTAATTTTTTCTGTGTGGTCATTTCTTAACAAGGATCTTAGTTTCTTGTTAGGAGCTGAATGGGGATTACTTCTTATTAATTAGCCGCATGTTTCATTGCATTGAGATTGTAATTGACCATTTATGTGAACTGCTTCTAGTTGTCTGCTATGAGGGATGGTTTGCCGAGAGGAGGAATGATGTAGGTGCCAGGTTGTTACTCCTTGTGTTTTCTCCCACTTCAAATGCCAAACCTATCCAGATGATTGTGTAAATGCAACATTGTATGCTGGGTCTGCTCTCTGCCTCTCTAGACAACTCTTCACCACCTGTCTTTCTTTGTCTGCAGGCCCAGACTGATCTTGCTTCCTTGGCCTTTATCCCCTTGGCTTTCCTAGACACTGCCCTGTGCTGGTGGATATCCTTCTCCCGGACTTGATCAGTGGCTGCTCATTCTCGCCTTGGAAATGGCGCTCCATTGGTCTTTCTGCAAAGGGGTGCCGCTTTTGTTGATTTCTCCTTAGTCAAGGGAGTAGGGTATTTTAGATTTAACAACCTGAGGGCTCAGGTAAGCTTGGGTTTTATTATTATTATTTTTTCTTCTAATTAAAAAACTTTGCCTACTGTGGACTGATCACAAGACAAATGTTACTGGCTCTTCTTTTTTTTACTGCCTCTTCTTTTTGAAATGAGCATTTTACCATGATTTCTAACTTGATGTGTTTTCTAGCTGCTGTGGATCTGCTCTTTCTATTAGCTGCTAAACCTGAACCCAACTCCAAACCCATGTGTACTGCTGTTGATTGATTTTAATTCATAGCAACCCTAGAGAATAAAATAGAACCACCTCAGAGTGTTTCCAAGGCTGTAAATCTTGTGTGGAAGCCGACTGCCCCCCCACCCCCACCCCCACGCACACATGTTCTGATGGGTTCTAACCATCAACCTTTCAGATGGCGGCTGAGCACTTCACCCTCGTGCCTCCAGGTCTCCTTAAATCATTGGCAATTATTCAATGCTTTGAAAATTATGAAAGGTTTTGATTCTTAAAATGTGGTTTTTCAGGAACAATGGTAGATGGCTTAGCTTTTCTAAAAAAAAGTCTTTGTAGGTTTAGTACATTTATGTTTTAGGGTGAGTATTTCATTCCTTTATTCAAAAGCTAATATGAGATTATGTGAAGACTTCTACCCTTAGAAGTACTGGTTCATTTTGCAGGCACGGTCAACCAGCAGATAATAAACTAGTTTGATTCTTTTTCACCTGTTCTTAAAAGGAAATATGTATTTATTAGGGATTTGGCCCTTTGTGTGAAAGAGTCAAGTTTTTGGACTTTTGGGATTATTTTGCCGTTGTCTTGTGTGTATTTGTTTGGTCCTATATACAATTGGGTAGTAATGTCTTGATAGCCTGTCATTGTTGCAGAAAACAATATGAACAAAAATTTGTATAATTTTGTGAATTTGAATGGATTGCCATATGTCAAAAATGTTTGAAATTGAAACCTCTTAAGTCCAACTGGCCAAAGCTTTTCTAGGTCAGTATCTTTCTTTCCAAATGTGCTTTTTGAACATGAGAGTGTGTGGGAAGAGTGGAGAGAGGGATATGGGATTGACCATTCAGGAAGGTAACACATTGTCTAGGTAACAGCCAAGGCTCTATCCAAGAGCACAGCAAGCTCCAGCTCCTTTATTTTCATATCTGCTCTTCATTCTGAAAGTTCGACGTGAGAACAGACATGTTCTTTAGTTGCCACCAGGCCCCCCTTTCTCTCTCTAGCAGTTCCTCTCTTTGGGAATAAAACTTAGAAAATGGAGAGTTGTTGCCTTTGGAGCGTCAGTGCCTGGATTCTCAGCTGATTATAGGGTTCTATTAACCCAGAGTAGTACAGGCAGCTGATGGCAGGTTCCTTAAGATGCCATGAGGGACTGAGCGTAGAGTTTGGGGGTATTGCAGGCACAAGCGCAATTATGGCCTTAGCCTTGGTTAGAGGGCACATGGGAGAATGAGCCATGAACCTTAAAGGAAGAGAGAGGATGATGCTAACTCTTGGTCTCTTGTCTGTAACTCATTTTCAGTGCATCTTCCATTTGTCTATTTTTTAACATTATTTTGTGTCTCTTTAAAGCTGCTTTTCTCTAGTTCTTTAAAAAAATATGTTTTTCCTCTTTCTTTTTTCATTCTTATTTTCTTTGGGTTCTGTTATCTAGTCGGTGTCTCAATAAATGTGATGACTTTCTAACTAAGTGTAGTGAGGGTTGGGGTGTTGATGAGAATATAAGTGCTGTAAGGCCTCTGGGATCCCTAGCTCTATCAGTTATAAATGCAGATCCTCAAAGGAAGTAGAGGATTAATCCACTAGTTTGTTTTTTTTTGAATGTTTATTTCCTTGACTTGCAAACACATATTTATTAGCCTGACTCAAACAATGAAGCTGCTGAAACTTCGGAGGAACATTGTCAAACTCTCCTTGTACCGGCATTTCACCAATACACTTATCTTGGCTGTGGCAGGTAAGTCAAGAACTTGCTTCCTTCTGTTTAAATTCCTGTCTCAAGAATTCACGAGTGGGCTCTTTAAAGTCACATAGAGTCTTGTGCCTTTCACTTGGAAAGAGGTCTTTCAGCTTCTCAAAGGGCCCTGCAGTTCAAAAAAGATCATGACCCACCTCTTTGAAATATAATAGCTGAAAACCACCCTTATGTAATTTCATATCATTCCCTCGTAGTGTGTCCATTCTTTCCTGTTTCTGCTCCTTTTCTTGAGACAGTTAGCCTGACTGTCAAGTAGCAGTTGGAGTATTTTGTGGGAGACATTAACACGATTTGATTTTGTTAAGTGGCTATAGCATTTACGATTAGAGCACATTGTAGCTTTTATGCATGTCATAAAAGTGAGTAACTTGCAGACTGAACTAAACTAAGCTACCCTGCTTGCCGTGTAGCCCTTTGAACAGGCATAGTGAGGTCTGGTCTATGACCGGAGCCAACTCTTGTTTGTGTTGCATTTCATCAGCTCTCTCAGCCTTTTGTTCTCTTCTGCTTTAACCCGACAGCCAAAGAGAACTATTGTTAAGTATATTGAGGCTAAAAGAATGAAAAAATAAAAGCTAATTATACTTAATAAGAGGCCCTTAGCTTTCCAAATTTTTCTTTTCAACCTTATTTATGGGTTACCGTTAAATTTTACATTATTGTTAATTCTGGAAAAGTCATATTCCAGTACCTTGTTTTCTATTTCTGAGGGTTACTGAATAAACTTACAAAAAGAAAAGCACAGAAATGATTGAAAAGAGCTTGAAATTCCACTTTTGCTAAAACAGAAAGTTCTTTATTGTTAATGTTTCATATGTAGTGTGGACCACCTTTGTTGTAGGTGTTGAGTAAATTTGTGTTGAATAAATTTGTTAGTAGAACAATAGTGATTATTTTATATTAGGAATTAAGGTGTATGGATTTCTATCTAAGCAGAATTAGGGAATATAATTGGGTAGGAGGGGTGGGAACCAACATTCATATTCTGACCATATTTTTAAATTTTTTGTAGCATCTATTGTGTTTATCATTTGGACAACCATGAAGTTCAGGATAGTGACTTGCCAATCAGTAAGTTGTAAGCCCATGCATTTATGGGTAGCACATGTACTATCTTATGTCGCAAGCAAAAATCAAATCCATTGCCATGGGGTCAATTCTGACTCATGATACTGATGGTAATGTGAAGGTTCTTGTAAGTCTATATGGTCCAAGAAATTATGGCTAGATCTCTACGTTGTAGGGTAGATCACCCCCGCCCCCATGTGTTGTCTTAACTGTTCTATGTGGTCAAAGTGCTTGGTATTACCATTTTTACTATTATTTTCATCTGACTACATATCCCAATAGTGAAAAGTTTCTAAGTGATAGCTGCCAGACCAAACTCACTGACATTGAGTCAATTCTAATTCATGGTGACCCTTTAGGGCAGGGTAGAACTGCCTCTTTGGGTTTCTGAGACTGCAACTGTTTATGGGAGTAGAAAGCCTCATCTTTTCCCTGTGGAACAGCTGGTGATTTTGAATTGCTAACCTTTGAGGTAGGTTAGCTGCCCAATGCTTAACCACTATGCCAGCAGGACTCTTAGTGATAACCCCAGTCTTTCATAAATCTAACTTTAATAAAAAATTCTGAAGAAATCCAGAGTACTGAACATTAGGTATGTGTGAATAATGATCATCTGAGTAGAAGCCATGCCCTTAGTGTCTGAACACAAAGCCTGGCCAGTCAGGTTAAGACAATATAGTACAGGATTTCTTTGGAGGCAACTAAGAATCTGCTTAGGTGAATTACAAAGTGCAAATGAAAAATAAACACGAAGAACATAATGTTATGTTCTCATGCCCTGTATAATAACCCTGTCTGAAGATTCTCAGAGCTATAATGAAGCTTTGACAATTGCTCAGTTTCGTTGGTGCTGTTTGTTTAGCAACATTAACAGTACAAGGGCAGAAACTAGACTCATTTATCCCAGCACTTTGCACACATAGGAGTTGGCGCCTAGCAGGCTTTTCTTATACTAGACAGAGACTTTTTGAACAAAGGTCATGGTAATGTATGTGTGTGTGTGTGTTTGTATATTATATTTTTCCTCTTTTCGCAGGACTGGCGGGAGCTGTGGGTGGACGATGCTATCTGGCGGTTGCTGTTCTCAATGATCCTCTTTGTCATCATGGTTCTCTGGCGACCATCTGCAAACAACCAGAGGTTCTTAGACTCTTCTTATTTACTCTGCTGCAGGATGGTGCATTGGGAGACAGCGTCCAGGCTATGTCTTACAGTGGAAGGAACATTGGGTCTGGAGTTAGGAGAATTGGTCTCAGCTCTGCTACTAGTTTTTTGATTATTGACATGTTGCCTCTTGTTACCTCTCTGGAACTTAGTTTCTTTTTCATATAATACTAGGGAATTGAACCAGTTAATATGAAGTCCCTTTCAGCTTTACATCTTCTGAAAATACTTTTTCTCCCTCTTTTCTTTCAAAGCATTGCACCCACTTCCCAACTCCTGTGTTAACAGCCTAATGTAGTTATTATTTTCCCTCATTATATAAATACATTATGGAAATTCTGTCTCTAGCAGTGAAAAATGTAGTAACACCTGCATGGTCTTCCTGCCCAGGGAAGCCTACTAACGGTTAGCATGCAAAGTAAAATTGTTATTGGTGGCTGCTCATATAAGCACCCTTTGCTTGGCATGTACCAAATCCCTGAAGGAAAGCAAAAGTTGATCATAAATTGCATTGTAGAGGCAGCCTCGCCATGGTGATCTGTTCTTATCAGTTAGTAAACCAGTCAAGTGCTGAGTGCCCAGATGCCAGCTGTGAGTCAGCTATGCAATAGGCCCTTCTAGAAACCTGCTAAGTTAACTTTGTCTGCACCTATTGCCATCAAGTCCTTTCTGACTAAGAAGCCCCTGTGACCCAGAGTAGAACTGCCTCGGAAGGTTCTTCAGGCTATAATCTTTTCGGAAGCAGATTGCCACATCTTTCCCCTTTAAAGCTAGCTACTGGTGGGTTTAAACAGCCAATTTTTTGATCACCAGGTGAACACTTAACCACTGAGCCACTAGGGCTTCAGGGGGATTAAAAATAGAGCTACAGCAATGTATTAAATGTCCTTGTACATCTAATTTTATGCACTCACCTCTGATAACAGTTGCAAGTTTGACAAGTTCCCCAAATGACCGTCTGGTTTGATAATTCTCTAGAAATGTTCAGAATTCACTGAAAACTGTGAAAACTGTGCTACAGATTAGTTTATTACAGAGAAGGGATCCAAACAGATCAGCCAAGAGAAAGGTATATAGGACAGTCCAAGAGGGCTCCATAGACAGAGCTCCTGGTCATGTGCTCCCTCGAAGTCATGCATGGGAGTGTGACAGTATGTAGAGTTGACAACTAAGGAAGCTCACCAGGCCATTGGTGTCCAGGGTTTTTATTGGGGCTTTATCATACACTGTTTGGCTGGCTGACCTTTTGTCTCCGGTCCATTCCATAGGACAGGCTAACACTTCAGTCTCCAATTTCTGTAGAAGTCAAAGCCCTCAACATAAACCACATTGTTAGATTATAATCCTATCAAGTAGGACACTTTAGGGGCCTAGAGATCACCACCACCACCTGCCAGTGAGTTTGTTGGAGTCTGGTTGCTATGATACTGGAAGCTATGCACCAGTATCTTAAATACCAGCAGGGCCACCCAAAGTGGTTCGATAGTGCTGTCAGACTAAAAGTAGACTGTGAAGAAGGAACAGACTGTCTACTTCGCAAGATCAGCCACTGAAAACCTTATGGATAGCAGTAGAACATTGTCAGATAGATGCGTGAAAATGAGCCCTTTCAGCTTGGAAGTCATCAAGAAATATGAATGGGGAGGAACTGCTTCTTCAAAGTAGAGTCGACCTTAATGATGTAGATGCACTAAAACTTTTGGAACCTTCATTTGCTGATGGGCCATGACTCAAAATGAGAAGAAACTACTGTAGACATCCATTAATAATTGGAACTCGGAATGTGCAAAGTATGATGTAAGGAAATTGGAAGTTATTAAAAATGAAGTGGAACTCATGGACCAAGGTACGAGATACTGAGCTGAAATAGATTGGCATTAGCCATTTGAGTCAGACAGTCATATGGTATACTATGCTGGGGATGATAATTCAAGAAGAATGGTGTCACATACATAGTTAAAAAGAATCTTTCAAGCTTCATCTTGAAGTATAATACTCTATGGAAGCATTTTTACAATGAAGCCCAATTAATACAACTCTTACTCAAATTTATGCACCAACCACAAGAGCTAGTGATTAAGAAACTGAAGAATTATACCAGCTTTTTCAGTATGAAATTGATCAAGCATGCAGTCAAGATATATTGATAATTATTAGCAATTTAAATGCAAATGTTGGAGCAAAGAGGAAGAAAAAGTAGTTGGAAAATATGGCCTTTGGTGATAGAAAAACATGCTTAAAGTATCTGAAGGTGGAAGGCCTGAAGAAACAATTCAAGCCTCAATATGCAGTATTGAAGGATTCTGTGGTCAAAATATTGAATGATGCAGGAAGCATCAAAATAAAATGGAATACACAGAGTCTCTACCAAAAATAATTGGTCCACTTTCAATCATTTCAAGCATTTAAACTAGAACTGATATATTGGAGGAAGTCAAGTCCAAGTGGTACTGAACGGATAGTGAAAAATAAGGGTCCAGGAATTGACCACACCAATGGAAATGTTTGAACAAGCTCACGAAGCACTAGAAACACTGGCTTAGGCTAAGAAATTTGAAAGAGATCTATATATACACCCGTTCTAAAATTAATAACACATGCAATAGAATTTTGATGAAGCTTCAATCAAAAACAGTTGCAGCAGTACATTAACAAGAGCTGCCAGAATTTAAGCCAGTTTCAGAAACGGACATGCATAAAGGAGATCATTGCTGACAACAGATGGGTCTTGTCTGAAAGCAGAGACTACCAGAAAAAACATGTTCACTTGCATTTAACCTGTGACTGCAAATGCATTCAACTGTATCAGTCATAAAGAAGTAGCAATGACTAGAAGAATGGGAATCCAGAACACTGTGGCCCATCAAGGGGATTGGATAGCTTATTGATAATACAAAAATAAGGTACATGACACCTTTGTAGGAGGGTGACTGTCCAAATAAAGTATGTGGATTGGTTAATTTTGCCATCCCATTAGACTTAAAACGAGTCATCCTAGAAGCAGAAAAGAAAGGCTTACCTGCTTCCCAGAGGAGATAGGACTGGAGTGCATGTTTGGACCTGGAGTCCCAGCACTGAGTACCTCCTGGACCCAGGTGACAGACAGCGCTGTAATACTGGAGACAGCCTAAATTGTTGAGAAACAGTGGCCACAGAACCACGAGAGGACAACAGAGCAGTGGACTTCCTGGCCCACGGAGCAAGGCACCGACTCACTGACCAGAGAACCTTTGGGCTAGAGACATCCTAGAGTAGAGCCTCCAAGCACATGTTGATGGAGCCAGAGAGCTGGGTTCCTTTGGGCAGGACCCTTCCTGGTGGAGTGTCTGGGCTCTTACTTACAGAGCTAAAGAGCTTTGTAATACTTGCTGGAGAAGGGGCAGAGGACCAGTGAGAGGACTGCCTGCTGACATGGTTGAGAATAGGCTGTACTGTTCAAAGAACTGTATCCTTTGTCACTCTTGGTCCTGAGTGAATAACCTGTTACTACCCTAATAGACCCCATAACTATGATCTTTGAATTTCATTTTTCAATAAACTTTTTGAAGCGCCCTCATAGAAAGTGCCTTGGGAGATGGGTGGTGTCAGAATTGGTCCAAGGTTAGAGAGAGATGATGTCGATGGACCTCTGCCTCGGAGGAATTAAGTTTGCGTTGTTGATGCTGGAAATGCTTCTCTCTCCTCTCCCCTGTGAAGTTTCTGAGTTTTTGTTGTTTTTTATGTAGGTATTGGTTATTTGAGCCTTCTGTGAATTTTGGGCCATTTTTGGGGGGTGGGCGGGGTATTTATTGATTAATATCTTACAGAAATTTGTTATATTTTAGATGCCAATATTTTGCCTGTTTGGGGCATCATTGTACTGGTTTGCTTTTTGGCTCTTATGAATGCAATATTTAAAAATATATATGGTTTTTCCAAATATATAGAGATGCTGTTGACTTTGTATCTTGTATTTATCTGCCATCATATATCATATTGTTAGGTCTGATAATTGGTAGATTTTTTCAGTAGAAAGCCTTTGTCTAAAGTAATGATAGTGTTCTTCCTTCTTTACAAAGTAATCTTTATGCCTCCTTTCTGTTTTTTTTGCATTAATGTTGACTAGGGCGGCCTCCAATATAATAATGAATAGAGGCTGCTGGAGACAGCAGTGGAGGTGGGCATAGCTGACTTCCTCTGGCTTCCCTATTGCCACGAGGCGAGAGCCAGACATACCTCCATGCCCCATCCTTCCCTGCCTATTCTGACACCAACCCTTCCTTCCATGCCACTCTACTTCTTCTCTGCTGGGTTTGAGAGTTTATTGCAATGGCCACACAGAACTCACAGACCATTCTCACAGGTAGGAGATTTATTAGTGAAGTTACTAGGTTACCACAAGTCAGGATCAACAAACAGTAAGGATACAGTCATTGGTTTCCTTAGCCAGCAGCCAAGTCACTGTAAGGTTCTTTGCCTCTCAGTCACATGGTCCCTTGGTCATTATCTCCATGGGCCAGGAATCCAGCCCACTCTGCCCCACAGTTCCATAGTCTCACGCCAGATGAGCAGGAGGTACCTGATAGCCTAGGCGATACACCTCTGCGTCTCCATGCCGAAGCCGGGTGCATTCGGTCTCGGCAGCGGCCTCCACCATCTCTTCATGCACATTGTAGACGCCATCTTCGAAAGCCCTCAGGTTTCTCTGCTGTTGCTTCAACAGGCTCATCCTTATAGCCATGGGAGTGCCCTGTTCACATAGTCCCACCCAGCCATTTGGTGGGAGTTACAGAGACTTGAATAGAATAGTCATATTAAGAAATTTCGGGGGGGGAAAAAAAAAAAAGAAATTTCGGTCTCTTGCTGCAGTACTGAGAGTGGGATTGCCCGGGAGCTCATCTGGGAGCTGGAAGCCAGGGATTGTTTTAAGAAAATGGCAGACAAGCCACACATGGGAGAAATTGTCAGCTTCGTTAAGGCCACGCTAAGAAAACGGAGACGCAGGAGAAGAACCCCCTGCCGACCAGAGGCCATTGAGCAGGAGAAGCGGAGTGAAATCTCCTAATCCTGGAGGAGTCCTCCAGACTGATGTGGAGGACGATGGACACAAAGCGACAAGCCACACAGTGCACCCACCGGCCTCCTGGTCTCCAAAGGGACTACCAAATTCTCCCGTCTGCTCTGGGGTACTATAGAAAATTATTTGTATGATTAATGAAAATAAAACACACCTCATGGCATGAAAAAGAAATTTCACTCTACCACAGAGGCACTGACAGCGGGCCTCCTCCTCTTAGTCTCACGTCCACATAAGCATGTCATGGTGACAGTAACTGACGCTTCACTGAGATTCTTTGTTAGTTACTCTTGACCCGGTGACAGTAGTTCTGTACTATTATCTTTTTTTTTTTTTAAACTACTATTATCTTATTAGGGTTTTATAATGAAAGGGAGGCTTAGAACAAGGTAGAATGAAAATAGCTCGCTACTATTAAATGGGAACTATTGGAGGTCATGGCTAAAGTATTTTGGGGATGGTCTAGTTGCCTCCTTTTGGTTTTATCTTCCCATCATCTTCCGAAAGCTGCTTTGCTGAATCTCTGGAAACTGGGAGAGAAAGGCATCTGAGACACATCTTCTCTCCACTTGGAAACTGAAATTTTAAAGTGTCAGGGAAGGAGGAGAGCAGATCTCCATCTTCGTAACTCCTTATTTGAAGGCTGAGCTTATATATTACATAACAATTTACTTAACACTGTGTGATATATACCCTTCTACATAAATATTTATTGACTTTTGCGCCAGGTATTGTTCTAGGCACCTTATTTAGAATAACTTAATTTTCATGAAATGCATTTGGAATAATGTTCTTTCATTGTCTCCATGTACAGGTGAGCAAACGAAGGCACTGAGAGATTATCTAGTCTGAGGTCACAATAATAATGTGGCAGGGTGTGAATTTATAATCCTGATACTGTCCTGCTTCTCCATTGCTAATTAGGCAATTGAGGGAAGGGAAGAGACTTTCATGACTTGTTAAGCTGACTGCAGTGTGAGTAATGGGGGTGCAAAGGTTTCTGTACTTTCCTTATTTTGTTCTTGTGCTCCCCACTGTCAGGTTTGCCTTTTCACCCTTGTCTGAGGAAGAGGAGGATGATGAACAAAAGGAACCTATGCTGAAAGAGAGCTTTGGTAGTCATAAAATTCACTTTTTTCCCCTTAACAATTCTTTCTGGTTATAGAAATTGCGAAAAGAAAAATATAGCATCTCCACTATCAAAATCAAAATATGTTGTTACAAGTACATTGTTTATTTTTAATAGCTGTGTTGTTGCTCAGTTTGGTATTTGATGAAGTTAGAGGGAAGAAGAAGTAAGGCTATGGATCTGATGGTGGAGCCAGAATCAATTCAGTCAAAACATGTGCATTAAAGGTCCAGTTTCGAGGGCCGTGATGGTTCAGTCGGAGAATTTTCACCTTCCATGCCAAAGACGAGTGCACCAGCCAGTGCACCTCAGGCACAGCCCCCACTGCCTGTCAGTGGAGGCCTCCAGCCTGCTAGGGTTCTGAACGGGCTTTCGTGGAGCTTCCACATTCAGACAGACTAGGAATGAAAGCCCGGTGTTCTGCCTTTCAGCACCAGCCCCTGGAAACCCTCTGGGCTACAGTGGGCACTCCTGTCGTACTTGGAGTTGCCATGAATTGGGGGCTCACTCTGAGGCAGCTAACAACAACCACTAGCACAGACCCAATTTATTTGCTAGATTTGAGTTGAAAATTTAACGTTGACCTTTCTAGTATAAATCTAAGATGGAGAAACCCTGTTGCTTAAAATAAAATTCTGAATCCATTTTTTGGTGACTTTTGCTGGTCTATTGATGTAGTTAACCAGTCTACATTCCTTTTTCTTCTGTAGAAGGAATGAAAATGAGAAGTACCAAACAAGAACCAAATGGAAATAGTAAAGTGAATAAAGCAGTAAGTATGACTTCTTTAGGAGCTTTGGTGGTGCAGTGGGGTAAGCACTGGGCTGCTAACCAAAAATTGGCGATTCAAACCCAGCAGCTGCTCTGTGGGAGAAAGTTGAGGCTGTCTGCTCCTGTAATGATTTCTAGTCTTGGGAACTAAATAGGGTTGCTGTGAATCAGAACGGACCCAGTGGCAGTCGATTGAGATGACTTCTTTTCTTTCCTCTTTGGTCCTGGCCCTTTTCTGCAGCCCTGGAGGAGTTCAGCGGTTATGGATCGCCCTAATGACTTTTGTGAATGATAACACGATTAAAGTGTTTTATATTATATCTTACTTTCACAGTTTTAAACAATGCAAGTGGTTTTGTCTAAGGTTTTATGACCTTTTAAGCAGGTGGTTTGGTACCTTGTGCTGAAATAGGAAGCGATCAGTCTGAGGGTTCTCTGTAGTGGTATCAGTGAAGCAATGGCCACAGGAGTCACCAGAAGTCTGCTTTGAAACAGGAAAGCGGTTTTCAGTCAGCTGTTTTCAGAGAACTGTTTTCTAGCCATTTTCCATTAAGGGCTTTAGGATTGACCGCAGCTTTTTAAGGAGCCCTGGTGGCACTGTGGCTGTGTGCTTTGGTAAAGATGTATAGTCTTGCGAGGCTTAGGTAGGGTCACTATGAGTCAGAATCAACTTGATTTAGTTGCAGTAGTTTGCTTTGTTTGTTTGTTTAGGTCAAAGAACAAAACTGGTGTCAGGCAAACAAATAATGACTTTTGAGAACCTTTAAAGATATAGGACATTATCTTATGTTTCTGTATATAGCTTTTAAAACTTTGACTTTTTGTCATCAGCCTTGTTTGCCATGTGAATGTACTACAGAGTTATCAGGTTATATTTAAATGTTTAAAAACCTGTAGGCCCTGACTCAACTCACTGCTGTCGAATCAGTTCGGACTCAGCTACCCTCTGGGATGGAATAGAACTACCTCTCTGGGTTTCTGACACTGTAACTCATTATGGGAGTAGAAAACCTCATCTTTCTCTTGCAGAGTGGCTGGTGGTTTTGAACGGTTGACCTTATAGTTGGAAGTCCAGCTCATAACCCACTGTTCTCTCAGGGCTCCTGTAGAGAGCTATTATTTAGTGTATATTAGTAACAATTGATACTTGTATGTTCCCGACAGGAAGATGATTTGAAGTGGGTAGAAGAGAATGTCCCTTCTTCCGTGACAGATGTGTAAGTTATTGACTCGGTCTCATAGTAAACCTCCTGCTTCATAGTTGGTACTACTGTTGCTTCTCTGAAGAGCATATTAATGAGGATGCTTTAGAACAGAAAGACTAGGAATACGAAGACAAAAATAATTGGGATTATTGGTTCAGATGAAATTTTTTGCTTGTAAATGTTTAGCTATCTTTCCAAAATCAATGGGTTATAATCCATTTGAAATTTCTGAGTTATTTTCCAGGGCTGTAATTTTAATGAAATGTTAGTCCATTAACATAAAACATGTTTTTTGTCTTTTCTGTATAGTTTCAGTAATTCTTAAAGTTTGTATTTGCTGTCCCCTCTTCTCTTAGAAGGATCATTGATAAGGTGTAAATCATAATTATAGAAAAACTATATTATCTCAGGATCCTTTTTGAACCATTTTAAATTCCTTTATTATGCATTGTTCACTTTGGCTTTTTTTTTTTTCCTTTGCAGAGCACTTCCAGCCCTTTTGGATTCAGATGAGGTCAGTAATCAAATCATACCATAAAGTGCGGATGTGGTGACTTACCTAATGTACTCGAGTATAAGCCGAGGCACCTAATTTTACCACAAAAACTGCATTAAAAATGTGCTGGAAAGCCTCGGTTTATACACGAGTATATACAGTAATAGGAAATATAATAATAATATGCTGAACCCCCTGGTAAAGGAGATTCTAACTTTTTTGACTTTGTAATGGCCCCAGAGAACTATAGTTGGTATAGCCGAAGAAGACTAAGAACACAAATTTTAAGATTAGAACTAAAACATCCAGGAAAACTTTCTTTCAGTATGTCTATTATCTCGACATATCCTGCATTTCTTTTCCAAAGTTATGGTATATGGTTATTTTTGAGACTACCTTCATTAAAATTTATATTCGCTCATTGTTTAGTTCCTTTATCTTTAAGAAATTCAAATATAACTTTAATCTAGGTTATAATAAAAGTGTGTTGAAAGAAATTGAGTAAAACACAATGGTGTCCAGGTAGAATCACCTGCCTGGTGCTCTTGTTTCTAGACGAGAAAATTAAGGTAGGCATGAGAAGCAAGCCTGAGGAAAAAGCAACGGGACTGAAGGTTCCAGAGGGACGTAGGGGGAGGAGGAGGCGGGAGAAGGGAAGCAGTGAGCAAACAACACCATCGACAGGGAAACAACTAGGGAATTAAAATCAACAACGAGGAGGACATAGAGATCCTGGGGGTGTTGGAGCAACGGCCATCTAGCTGAGAGGAATTACTAAGGCAGAAAGGTCAGTGTGATGGTGGGAAAGGAGGAATGTAAAAGTAAACAGGAAAGATCTAGGAAGCAAAGCTCTGGATAGAGGTATAAACATAGGTGTACACTTATGTAAATATATTAATTCATAAAAGTAGAGGTATTAGCATAGATACATATATTTATATGGTAATACATTGAGGAAGTGGATGGACTTTGGGCCTCTGCCTTCCTTCAACGCAAGAACATATTGTTCTAACAACCTGGCATTCTGTGAGGTTCACCCTCCCTGCACCATCGCTGAGGACAAAATGGGTGCACAAGCAAATGTGGTGAAGAAAGCTGATGGTGCCTGATTATCAAAAAATAAAGCATCTTTCTTCACCCCCCCACTATCATGACGCCAATCTGGCCTTTCATTGTGGGCTAGGCCGGAGCACGTACACAGGTACAGATAGGAGCGCAGGACACACTGAATCCAGGTCAGATAAATTCCTCAGAAGCAGAAATGGGAGTAGCGATACCAGGAGGGTAGGAGGAGGAAGGACGAAACCGCTGGGGAAGTGGGGGGGGGACAGCAGTTGTAAGATATGAAAATAATAATAATTTTAAATTTATCCAAGGGGTCATGAGAGTGGGAGGGTAAAAAGAGGAGCCGATACCAAGGGCACAAATAGGATGTGAATGTTTAAAAAATAGCGATGGCAATATATGTACAAATATGCTTGATACAATTACTGCATGGATTGTTATAAGAGCTGTAAGAGCCCCCAATTTAAAAATAATAATAAGGGGACGAACAACAGAAAAGTGAGTGAAGGGAGACAGGACGATATAAGATGTGAAAATAATAATCTATAATTTATCAAGGGTTCATGAGGGGTGGAAGGTGGAAGAGGGAAGGAAAAATGAGCTGATATGTGCTTGACACAATGGATGAATTATGGATTATGATAAGAGCTGTAAGAGCCCCCAATATAAGTGTTTAATAAAATAATAATAATAAACTAGAGCTAAAACAGAAAAAGAGTAGACTAACAACAGATTTTTAAAATAATCTCTTCTTTAATGCTAACCATATTATTTCCCTCTTCAAATAATTAGTATTCTAATGTGTTTGCTTTTTATCTTTTCCTAAAGCTCCATACAGTTTGTGTAGAAGCCTTTGAATGAACTTTTAGGCAAGCCTTGCAGTCTGACTTCATGCAAGCGAGTTCCAGACACGTTTTGGATATTAGGTTATTCTAGGGTGTCTTGTGGAAGCATCGTGCCTGCTTCTCACTCACTGTGTTGGATAAGCGCTTATAAAAATGATTTGTTCATTTTCCATCGACCTGCTGTGTACAGCAGCATTCAGACTCACATTCCTTAACTGTTTCCTTGAAATAATTAAAAACACTGCCCTTCAGATTTTCCAGATTAACACAGCCCTTTGCTTTCTGTGGTGTCTCCTACATTTCCCATCTGTTGAGCCTTGAATTGATCCATCTGTAGTGTGGCCTCTTGGAGTCCTTCTTGCTAATTGTTTGCCTCGGGCTTCCCTTTGACGTTGAGTCTCCTATTGGTTGGGCTAGATGGAAAACTTGACTGTATCTTGCCTGGGGATACTGTTTACTGTCATCCTATTGATGGCACCAACTTCATCCTGCTGCCCCTGTTTTCCTTTGTGGAAGTGCTATCCAGAACAAAGTGCTGTGTTGATTGGTAAGTTTGAAGGATGATAAATACCTAGTAAATATCAAGGCTTTTCTTCAAAACTGTAAAAGAACTTAATGACTTACAAGAGAAACAAGTTACTAAAAGGACTAGGAGTCAAAATGGCATCAGACTTTTCAGCATCAGCTTTGGAAACCAGATAAAAGAACAATGCTTTTGAATTCTAAGGAAAGTTATTTATAACCTAGAATTTTATATCCAGCTACTCTACCAATATGTTGTTGTTAGGTGCCATCGAGTCAGTTCCTACCCATAGAAACCCTATGCACAATAGAACGAAGCACCGTATGACTCTGCACTATCCCTACAATTGTTCCTGTGCTTGAGCCCATTGTTGCAGCCTTTCTTATCAATCCATTATATTGAGCACTTTCCACTTTTTCACTTCCCCTCCACTTTACCAAGCATGGTGTCCTTCTCCAGGGATTGGTCTCTCCTAACATTGTGCAAAGTACTTGAGACAAAGTCTCACCATCCTTGCCTCTAAGGAGCACTCTGGCCGTACTTCCAAGACAGATGGATTTGGCCTTTTAGCAGTCCACGGTACAGTGAACCCTCGTTAATCGCGATTAATCGGTTCTAGACCCTACTGTGTTAAATGAAATTTCGCGAAGTAGGATTCCTTATTTGTAAATCAA